TCCCCCCTCCCCTCTCGGCGCAGGACATCGGCGGGTGCGACATTCAGAAGCAGGAGATCCGCGAGGCGGTGGAGCTGCCGCTGACGCACTTCGAGCTGTACCAGCAGATCGGCATCGACCCGCCACGTGGCGTGCTGCTGTACGGCCCGCCTGGCACGGGCAAGACCATGCTGGCCAAGGCCGTCGCGCACCACACCACGGCGGCGTTCATCCGCGTGGTCGGGTCGGAGTTCGTGCAGAAGTATCTGGGCGAGGTGCGTGGGTTGCGGGAGGGGGGAATCAGGGGGGGGCAAGGGGGGGCAGGGGGTCAGGGGGGCCTGGCCAAGGCCGTGGCGCACCACACCACGGCGGCGTTCATCCGCGTCGTGGGGTCGGAGTTTGTTCAGAAGTACCTGGGAGAGGTGCGTGGGCTATTCCTTTGTGGGCGCGGGGAGGGGAGGAAGGGGAGGGGGGACGCGTGGAATGTGCGTGGCTGGGTGGGGCTGCGCTGGTTCATCCGCGCGGTGGGGTCGGAGTTCGTTCAGAAGTACCTGGGCGAGGTGCGTGGGCTGTGCGTGGGGCTGTGCCGGGTGCGTTGGTGTATTGGTGCGTTTGTGCCAGAGCTCGTGCAGCAGCACCTGAGGGTGATGCGTTGGCTGATGCATGAGCAAGTGGGGAAGTTACGGATAGGCAGGGTGAGAGGAGAGAAAGTGCAAGGGCGGGGTGGGAGGAGAGAGATGCGCGTATCCTCCCCCTCTGCTTTTTCCCCTCCTTTCCCTCCTTCGTGGAACCCCCCCCCCCCCCCCTCCCCCCCTCCCCCCTCTCCTCACGATCCCCTCCCGCCTCTTCTCCCGTTCGTTTCCCCTTCCTCGCATCAGCGACTTGCGTTTCTTCCTCTATAATTATGCCGTTTTTCGTTCCAGCACAAGAGCTGCTTTTTATACTTCAGTCCCCGTCCACCCGTCCCGGTCCTCTCCTCATCATCATAGACGAGATCCACTTCTAAGTCTCCAACACTCCCCCCTCCCGCTCCCTTCCCGTCCCCCTCTCCCTCCCACTCCCTCTCCCCCTTCCCCCAACCCCACCCCTCCTCCCGGGATCCCCTGCCCATCACCCGCCCCCACTCCCGCTTTCTCCAAATCCTCCCCGTACCCCCAGGGTCCGCGCATGGTGCGCGATGTGTTCCGCCTGGCCAAGGAGAACGCGCCCGCCATCATCTTCATAGATGAAATCGACGCCATTGCCACGGCGCGCTTCGACGCGCAGACCGGCGCGGATCGCGAGGTGCAGCGTATCCTCATGGAGCTGCTGAACCAGGTGCGGTTGCTTGGGGGGGAGGGAGGAGAAGGGGGAAGAGTGGTGCTGAGGGGTGCGTGACGCGCCATCATCTTCATAGACGAGATCGACGCCATTGCCACGGCGCGCTTCGACGCGCAGACCGGCGCGGACCGCGAGGTGGTGCAGCGTATCCTCATGGAGCTGCTGAACCAGGTGCGTAGCGGTGCACATGGGTGTGCATGGATGCCGAAACGCATGGGTGCACAAGGGGCGCACAGCGGCGCACAGGGGCGCACAGAGGCACACAGGGGTGCATAGGGACCGCGAGGAGGGGGAGGTAGTGGGGGGAAGAGGGTGAAGGAGGGGCCTGACGGGTGCAGGCAGCTGGAGGTGGAGTGGTGGAGGGGAGATTGAGCATGCGCTCCTTCTGCCAATACTAGTGGGTGATTTTTAGTCGACTCAGATATCACCTCACTGCTCCCCCTGCCTATACCCGTGCCTGCGTGCCTGTGTGCTTGCGTGCTGGAAGCCCTATTCATTCCACTCGTGCCCTGCCTATCATGGCCCCTCCTCTCCCCTCCTCACCTCAGGTAGGCGGTTCTGATCAGACAGTGAACATGAAGGTCATCATGGCCACCAATCTCTGACTCGTGCCTTGCCATCCTTCCCCTTCTTTCCCCTCTGTGCTGGCCCTCATTTCCCCCATCTCTTCTCTGTTCTCTCCTCTCCCCTTGCCTCCCCCTCTTGCTCTGTTTCCCCTCCCATCAGATGGACGGTTTTGATCAGACGGGGAACCTGAAGGTGATCATGGCCACCAACCACTTGTCTACTCGCGTCTCACTCTGCGTTGCCCGGGTTGTCTTTCTCCACCCCTCGCTGCCCTCCCTCAGATGGACGGTTTTGATCAGACGGTGAACGTGAAGGTGATCATGGCCACCAACAGGGCTGACACGCTCGACCCTGCTCTGCTCCGCCCCGGGCGCCTGGACAGGAAGATCGAGTTCCCTCTACCTGACCGGCGACAGAAGCGCCTCGTGTTCCAGGTGAGGGGGTGTGAGGGGTGAGGGTGTGTGGTGTGGGGGTGTCGGGCCGAGTGGGTGTTTTGTCTGTGCTGCTGGTACGTGTGTTATGGGGTGCTGGGGAAACGTTGGGGTGTTGGGGGAACGTTGGGATGCTGGGGGAACGTGAAGGTGATCATGGCCACCAACAGGGCTGACACGCTCGACCCTGCTCTGCTCCGCCCCAGGCGCCTGGACAGGAAGATTGAGTTCCCTCTGCCTGACCGGCGACAGAAGCGCCTCGTGTTCCAGGTGAGGGGTGGGGGATGCGTTGAGGGTGGGGGATGTTCCAGATACGTTGGGGGTGAGAGCTGGTGTGGTGTTCCAGGTGCGTTGAGGGTTGTGGTGTGGTGAGGGTAAGGGCTGGTGTGGTATTCCAGGTTGTTCGTGGGTGTTGTTATTGGGTCAAATGGACAGGAAGATTGAGTTCCCTCTTCCTGACCGGCAGCAGAAACACCTCGTGTTCCAGGTGACGGGTGAGGGGTGATGGGGAGTGGGGGTGGAGGGGTGAGAGGGACTGGGTGTGGGGATGGGTGTGGGTGTTTTTGAGGGGATGTATAGAGTGGGAGCGTGTGCTGCTGGTGTGCTGTGGGGTGTCACTCGCCAACTCTTTCCCTCCTCCCTTCCCTCTCCTGCTCTGTCTCTCACACACATTCCCACTCGCCCTCTCTTTCCCCCGCGCAGGTGTGCACGGCCAAGATGAATTTGAGCGAGGAGCTGGAGCTGGAGGACTAAGTTCTTTTCCTCCTTAACCACCCTTCCTCTCCTCTGCCTCACACACACCCTCCACTCGCCCCCTTCGTCCCCCTTGCGCGTGCAGGTGTGCACGGCCAAGATGAATCTGAGCGAGGTGGTGGAGCTGGAGGTCTATGTATTCTGCCCTCCTCCCACTTCCCTCTCCCCCCTTCCGTCTCCGTTCTGTCTCTCTCACACCTATTCCCACTCCCTCTCTTCCCCGCGCAGGTGTGCACGGCCAAGATGAATCTGAGCGAGGTGGTGGAGCTGGAGGTCTATGTATTCTGTCCTCCTCCCACTTCCCTCTCCCCCCTTCCGTCTCCGTTCTGTCTCTCTCACACCTATTCCTACTCCCTCTCTTCCCCGCGCAGGTGTGCACGGCCAAGATGAATCTGAGCGAGGAGGTGGAGCTGGAGGACTATGTGTCTCGCCCCGACAAGATCTCGGCTGCCGATGTAAGCACTCAGTGAGCACTCGTGCTGCTGGTGACCGAACGAATGCTGGTGACCGAACGAATGCTGGTGACCGAACGAATGCTGGTGACTGGGAAATGCTGGTGACTGAGCAAATGCTAGAGGCGTGAGAGAAAACACCTGGGGCAGTGAGGAAATTACTGCTGGTACATGCCAAGTAGTGATTTCCTGTGTCGACTGCTCTGTATCGAGTCTCCTCAGCTGTATGCTCCGAGTCTGGTTTCCTGTGTATGGTTATTACTCCTAGTCTGGTGCAGTTGACGCTTCTTATGGTTCCTGGGATCCTCTCACCCCCCTGCCCCCGTCTCTCCCTGTCGTCTCCTCTATCTCACTCACCCCACTCCCGCCCTTTCTCCTTCTCCCGGCATTCTGCTTGGTTCTTTTTTTGCCAAATCGTCGGCTTTTGAGATTATGCCACTGCCACAGTGGCAGATCTTAGCCATTTGCCAGGAGGCTGGCCTTGCATGCAGTGCGCACAAACACACACGGTCAGTTTGCAGCCAACCTGATTCCCTGACGTCTCTTTCCTTGAACCCTCCTCCTTTGCCCCTCTGTGCGGCCTGCCACTGCCACTTGCAGATCTCGGCCATATGCCAGGAGGCATGCATGCATACGGTGCGCAAGAACAGCCAATATGAGGTTGCACACACCGTGATTCCCCGTCACCTCTTCCCTTGACATCCCTCTTCTCCTCCCTGCGCCCGTCCCCTACTGCTCCTCGCAGATCTCGGCCATATGCCAGGAGGCGGGCATGCATGCGGTGCGCAAGAATCGGTACGTGATTCTGCCCAAGGACTTTGACAAGGGTTACCGCTCGCACGTCAAGAAGTCTGATACCGACTTTGAATTCTACCGATAGGCCTGCTGGCTCGTGAAGCTCATGGATGGGAGAGGAGAGAGTGGGAGTTGGAGGGGAGAAGTGAAGGAGAGGGGAGCAGGGAGGGTAGAGGCTGGTGTGGTTGGTGGTGCCTGGATATTTTGTTGTGACAGTTGTACAGGAAAGGTGGAGGGAGCTGGAGGGGATGGGTGGAAAAGAGAGGGTTGTGCATGGTGGTGAGTGCGTGGTAAGGGTAGTCGGATGGAATCATTTGCTGGTACTGACATATTACATGTGCTGACATATAGAGGATTGATGTGTACATTTTTCCTTTCAAATCACCGTCATTCTGTAATGGAGATGTCCCCAAAAGATAGGGAAGATAGTGCGCGGTACACGGATGGCAGCATGGTACATGCATCGCAGCACGGGAGGGAGATCTTCGGAAGTCTCTCCACTCCAGCCAGCCTATGAATGGGTTGGCTTGGCTTGGTGGCCCCATTTGGAACCCACTCATGTACAGTCCTCATTCCACGAACCCACTTGGAAGCTGCAGTCATGTTTACAAAAAGTCTCTACTCTTGCTTGCATGGTACACAATCGGTGCGTACAATTCTAATATTTATTTACGTGTATGACAGAACTGGAGTATAGTTTTTCCTAATTGTCCTCCTCCGCATCTTCTATGGCCATGGACGGCAGCAGGAGCAGCTTGTCCGTCCCCACCACCGTGAAATACGGGCCAGTGTAGATATGCGCCACGGTCACCGTCACCTTAGTAGCCGGCGTGCCGCCTCGCAGGTTAAACGCGACCACCTTGTCGTTTTTCGCCGTCGTTTTCCGCACGGGAATGCCCTGCGCGGTCGGCATCAGCACCCGCGGGAGCGACTGGAGCTGCTTATAAGTGTAGAATCCACGAATGCAGGCGAATTTGGAGGTGCCGTAGATGGGATCGGGTCTAAGTATACTGAATCTGGACTTTGCGGCTTTCAGGGCGGCGTCCCCCGGTAGTAGCACTGTACAGTTGGCGAATACGCCGACGTTGTATTTCGAAGGAATGTTGTACTTGTTGGCTGTAACGGGGAAGACAACAACGGGGAGACGGAGGAGGAAGGGGAAGGAAAGGAAGGGGAAGAGGGGAGGGTGCGGAAAGGGGGAAGGTGGTGTTGAGATGCGTGATGGGATTGAGAAGGTATGGGGCTAGCTCGGTGCGGACGGCAAGCTCAGAGAGCCAGAGAGGATGCATGGCAGTGAAGGCGTGACGAGCACGGGAGAGCAAGGTTACAACGATAGAGTATCCGCACCTGCCGATGCCAGCCTTATTCCGGACTGCTTGTGGGAGGGAACCTGCTGCATAGCCGCTGCAAGCTTCTTAACCTCCGCCTTCATCGCCGCATAGCTCGGCGCTGCTGCTGCGGGGCTAAGGCGGAACGCGAGGGATAAGGACAGGAGCGCGACGCATAGAAGAGGAGCGGTGGACGAGAAGCGGGTGCGTTTGTGAGGTCGATTGCGATGGTGGAATGCGGAATCCATGGCACGACTTGGCGTTCACGCAGGCTTGCGCTCAGGAAAGGTAGGATTGTGAGCGTGTGATGCGAGAATCTAAGGTCAAAGAGAGAGGCAAGCACGAGGGAATTAACGCCAGAAATAGAAGCTTTTAGGAATATTTGTAGGTGTGACGGTGCGGACGAGGGACGGGAAAGAGGAATCCTTGATGGCATTGCTCCCTCCCCGAATGGTCCCTCCCTCCGTATCGTCGTAACACAATTTCTTTCGTTGTTCACACATCGGACCGCGCGTGATGAATTTCCCTCGAAAATCCAGCAAAACTGATGATACGCCAAAAGCGACCGCGCTGCGGAACAGGTCTACCTCGGAGACAGTTTTGCCCTCGAATATCTTGGAAACACCATTTTCCAACCATAGTTCTCTAATGACACCATCAGATTGGTGGGGAGTTCTTCTGTGATTTTTACCTTAAAACAAAGCACTACTGGGGTAGGAGGACGGTGTTGTTCTGGATTTGTCTTGGGCGAGATAGAACTGGCGTTTAATGTCCTTGCAACTATCAGAACCAGCTCAAACCCTGTCATAGAACGTTCTTCGGAGTGATAGTCCTGATGCTTTCCTACTTTGCCAAGCCCTAGTAAAAGCTGGAAGGAAAACCAGGCAGACACATCCCATCGAAATAAACAAAATTAGGGCGTTTTTCCGAGGCAGATCCAGCGGGTAGCACTGGAAATCAAAAATTTGGTCCATTGGTCGTGGACTGGTCGCAGAGTACTGTATATCCGACGAAAGGCCACGAACATGCCCAAATGATGTTGCGCAGCCTGTCCGACTTGGTCGGCTCTCCCATCGCCGCTTTACGAATGCGTTTCGTGTGAGGTTGGCCAATGAGCTGGGTCGTTTGGCAGGTGTTTTGCGGCATTGCATCTTCCCGACGTGTGGTCTGAACTGCCATTTCTGCAGGTACCCGTTTCAGGCACCTGTCCCTCTACACCATGCACTGATATTCATAAGCAGAAGTAACAAGCAGACAAAAGCTAAATATTGTACAATCTTATTTAGCTATGAAGAAAATCAAATTATTACATATTAAATTGTGTTATCTCAGTTTTTAATACATTCTCTTCCTTCAGTCTAGAGTTCATTTTTGAGGTAGAGCATGCGTAGACATAGATGGAGTATTATTATTTTGTACAGTTCCTTGTTGCGCGTATTTCGTTGTTCTGTTGCTACGTTGTCGCGTTTCACCTGGCACATGTTTGCCGCCAACAGAAGCGTTGATCGAGGGATGTTGCAGTCAAGCGAGTGCTTCCTTCTCGCCCTCTCGGTGTCAGAAACACCACACAGCCTCTCAAAAATCTGACCATGTCGATGGTGCGCGGCTGCACATTCGTCATTCTGACCGGAATCGCACCTAAACGGTGTCGGGCGTTCTTGTTCGGTCTTACACGGTGCTTGCTGGCAATAGTGACCTGAACCAATTTCCGGAACCAAGTTAACCGAACCCAACCTAGACTGAACTAGCCCAATCCAACCACCAACCACACCACAAGGGTGTTTCCCTTCCCCCCACCCCCGACGTTTGAGCACCCTGCTTGTCAGCAAGATCCCTGTGATTCTCTTGCTGCGGCGTGGAAATTCTTCGTGCAAACAATTCTGCATTTCAAGCCCAGTGTACTTTTCCAACCACTCACTGTACTAGTTGCACCGCATTGAAATGCACTGCAACGACCAATATTTCCTCCACCTGGAGAACCAGCACCAGAGCATCACCCCAGCAGCACATGCCACGATTGGTTCTGTGCAATCACCACATCAAGCCCTCTCCCTCGCTTCTGATTGGAATGGAACACATTTCTCCTTAGCTTGCCTCTCCACGTTTCAGACGTGTATCTAGACTTCATTGCTCCGTAAAAATAACCGTGACTCCCGTCCCCTCAAGCTAAGGTTACAGGTTTAAACTCTCACTAACATCTGAAAGACACTAAGTTTCGCCCTCCTCGGTTTCAGTACAGCAGACAGATATCCAATCCACCCAATCAGCACCCCCCAACTACCCTCTTCCCTTACTGTCCGTTCCATTCCGTTCCATTCCGTTCCGTTCCCCTCCATTTTTCTCGCGTCCGTTCGACGGACACCAACACGCGTCGACCCGGCATTACCGACCCGCCAAGATGAATAACCTAATGACGCAGTCGTGGGTCATCGACAAAAACACAGGCTTCACGCGCCTCGCCACGGCACAGGACCTCGAGCAGGGCCGAAGGGATGCCTTCGGCACGCCAGGGGGAGAGGGGCCGCCAGATGCGGACGACGACGGAAGCGAGGAGGAAAAAGGGCCGGGAATGGACCTCACGGAATTCGACACGAAAGTCGCAGAGGTTCGCAAGGACATGGAGAGTATAGCGACGGCGATCAGCTCGCTAGCGAGCTTGCATCAAGAGGCGAAGGCCGCGGTGCGATCCGCGTCCGTCGTCGCGCTGCACAAGCGGATGGACGACGACGTGGGCACGATCTCGCGGCTCGCGAAGGCGATTCGGCAGAAGATCGAGTCGCTACAGGAGGACAACGTCGCGAACAGGAAGTACCCCCGGTGCGGCGCAGGCTCGGCGACGGATCGGCACCGAACCTCGGTGACGATGACGCTCGGCAAGAAGCTCAAGGATCTAATGGGCGAGTTCATGGATCTGAGGAATCGCATGGCGGAAGATCACAGATCGACGGTGGAGCGGCGAGTGTACATTGTAACGGGGGAGCAGCTACCTAGCGAGCATGTGGACCGGATAATCGAGACCGGGCAGAGTGAAAGTTTTCTACAGGCGGCGGTTTCGGCGCAGGGGCAGACCGCGGCGATGGTAGACGTGGTGGCGGAGATTCAGGAGCGGCACAACGCGGTGCAGGACATCACGCAGCAGTTGCAGGAGCTGCACCAGATGTTCCTCGACATGGCGACTATGGTCGAGGCGCAGGGCGAGATGTTGGACAGTATCGAATCGCATGTCGGCGCGGCGGTGGAGCAAACGTCGACGGCGAAGGAGCAGCTGCAGACGGCGGTGGTGATTCAGCAGAACACGCGCAAGTGGTATATTATCGGGGGCGTCGCGGCTCTGATTATTCTTCTCATTATAATCATCCCCGTCGTCTCGTCGGCGATGAAGTAATATACGCTATTTAATCTGATAAGCAACAGCAGGGCGGTGTGTGTGGTTTCTTCCTCGATAGTATGTAGGGATGATTGGGGTTTCTGATCAAAAAGCCGATCATGGGAGCGGGGCCGGTGCGGCGCTCGCAATAGACGGCTGCGGTGGCACCTCGGACGTGTCAAGCGGATAATCGCGTCCGTTGGATGGAATGCGAGTGGCTGATAGCTGGACGGAAGCTGTCACATAGGCAAGATCTGCGGCGAATCCGTGGGTGTATTGGCCGACGAGATTACTTCATTTCTGCAAGGCAAAGGTGGGTCACTGAATTTCGAAAGGGACGGGGAACTGGGGGGAACGGGGAAGAAGGCCGAAGGGAGATAGTATGTGCGCATGTGAGCTGGCTGTTGTTTATGACTGGCTCAAACCCTGAAGGAAAAAGGTCAAGGAAAAAAAAATCAAACAAAAAACGCATTTCTGATTCGGAAATTATGGAATTTGGGTGCGGAGGAGGGGGAAAGGAGGAGGCAGAAGCAGGTGTAGTGGCGGGGAACGGCTGGGGAAGAGGGGTTGGGGAAGGGGGAAAGGCGATTTGGAGCGCAGAGGTAGCGGGATGACGGCGGAGATGCGGAGGTGTAGCTGTGGGATAGCGTAGCGTGAGGGGAAGCAGATCCGCAGCTACTTCCCACCTCTCGTTCTCGTTGTTCACCTCTAAACATTTTCAATGTAGCGTCTTCTTTGTTCTCACGTTCCGCATTCATACAGTATCCCAATGTTCTCCATTCAGGGAAAGAAACCAAAGTGTATGGTACTGCTGCTGGGTCATTGGAAGCCTGATCGGATGAGAACGAGCTTAGGGTTCGTGGGACATGTATGGAATGGGAGTTATGGGTGAGACATCTGAGTGCCTCCTAGGCATTGGTTCTGTGGCTCGGGAGGAGGTATTTGATTTGATGTGATGGCAGCGCTGGCAGACGTCTGCATGGTATGAGCTCTAGCAAACAATAGTGATTGTGCATGAGCATTGTCATGAGTTTGACCAAAACAATGTCAGGGGGGCATGTTGGTTTGGCCGCTGTTGATGTTTGGGTGGGAATGACACCTGCCATGGGTTGTAGGGTGAGAAAAGCCACGGGCTTGTTGTAGAGTGTTACGGGTTTGTTGCGGAAGGAATGTCACGTGTTTGCTGCATTGGGAATGTCATTGGCTTATGGTGTAAGGATCGTTGATTGCTCACGGCTCTGTTCGATATGACGTGGGTTTGTTGTACGGGAAGTTCACGGCATGGTTGTGCTGTCTGAGGAATGTTGCCACGCTGATGGGTATGTGGCCAGCATGGTTGCTTGAGCATTAGAGTGAGGTTCCATGGTGAATGGCATCGAATTCTTTTGGGAACGTTGTGGGATTGATTGGGCATGGATTGTGCATCTTGGTCTGTGTGCGTTTGTTATTTTCTGGGTGATGTGATGTGACAGAGCCACATGCGATGTCATGAATTTGTTCAGGTCAATGTCGTGATATGGTCGCACACAGAAAGTTGTGGGAATATAATGCGTGCTATCTCCGCTCGTGGTCCAGCAGCACGGGCAATTGTGTCAGTGTAGTTTTGTAAGCATTTACCGACACAATTCTCACTCGTCCATGTCCTCATGTTCCATCCAACTGCCTTTAGCTTGGAACAATGATGCGTAGATTTACCTGGGTTTGGAAATGGTTTATCACTTGCCCACCACTTTACATGGGCACATATTTCTCATCAAACGTGAAGGATTCATAAGGAATGTAGATTCCACATAGAAAATCAGACCCTACAAAGTGTACATTTCAGCCTGGAATACACTATCTCGTTTGGGGCGTTTCGAGGTTTCAAACGCCACAGGTAGTTTCGCGCCAAAAACTAGTCAGTCCCGCTGTTCTCCCCTTGCCGCTCTGGCGTGCGGGAAACGCTAGTTCCCATCCCATCCCACACCAATCCCCAAGACTCACGCGCAAACACGCTTTCCCCTCCCCCGCTCCCAACACTCCAAATCCCCAATCAAGCCGCCTGAGAGTCTCTGGCGAACGAGCGCCACGACACCACAGCATTTCTTGCGCCAACCCTGGGACCTCCAACAGGAGTGGCTTACAGCATGCAGCGCACTGGGAAGAAGCACGTGTACCAGAGCAAACACTAGACTCTTTCGATCATAGAAGCTGCGAATGTCCTTGGGAATGGAGTGATTCAGAGACAATCGCGACTTCTCCTTGGCCCTCTAGGCTGTTCTTTCTGAAGGCGTCGGCGTTCAGCGCGCAGCCGGTCCTGCCCTAGTCAGCAAACCTTGAGTGTTTCAAACTCCAGGATCATTTCGACTCGTCAATAGTTTTTTTTTTTTTTTTTTTTTCCCACAGTTAACCGAGTTTCTCTTTTATTTTTGTCTTGGCGTTCGTTCTGGAACCAGGCCCTTCGTCCGCACTGCTGGTTCTCCTCGTCTTCTCGAGCATATGGTTTCATGGGAGCCGTCGGATTTCAAGGATTATGCCCAGACACTGCCAGTTGTGCACAGGATAAGGCCCGTGCCAAAACCCGATAAGCTCTAAGGCCAGCTCAGCGACTTGAAGCGAACGAATTCCATTGATTCCCCGCAGTTTCCCTTGATAACATAGCTTTTGTTTTTTTCCGCCCTTCTGCCCCAAAACGTCCTGATCGTCGCTAGTCTCTGGCAGAGGTGGGAACAGAGCTAGCTAGTGAAGTGAATCCTCTCACCACCCGCGTGCCTTCTGCGGTTACTCCCAGCAGCTAGTTGATCCTCGGGTTTTACCTCAGGCGTATTTCCTGTGTCAAAACCGCCTCTCCGTAGCTGCCAAAGCCTTGCGACTCGAGTTTTTCTAGCTCGTTAACGGTTTGAACGTTCATTGAAACTTCGCACGAGCATCGCGATCCGTTCCGTGAAACGCCGCGACGGAGAGAGTCGCGCAAGCATTAAGTCAGGATGTACATCAAACAGGCGAGTGGAGTTAGCTGTTCTCGTTTTATTTTGTGCCTTCAATTGTTTGGTAACTGGAACTGGAATACGTTCTGCATGGTGCGCATTCTTGTCTAGAACGACAGGGATTGAGTCTGACATGGCTGACACGGCTGACACGGCACGCTTCATGAGCTCTTTCGGGGACCTTACTAGTTGAAGATCGTTCTCCATTTCAGTAGCCTTTTTAAACCGTGATGGTTCTGACAGTTCTCACGGATCTGCTCCTTCTTGGCTTTCCCCTCCGTTCTCTTTGATCCCGTTGCCCGTGCGACGTCTGCTGTTCGCTGCTCCTTGTGTCACTCACTCCGACGGTCGCGATGCACCAGGTTATCATCGAGGGTTTCAAGAGCTACAGGGAGCAGGTCGCCACGGAGGAGTTTTCACCCAAGATCAACTGCGTTGGTGCGTCGTCGTCAAAACAACTCGCTCAAGCTGCTTTTCTTTGCATCAAAGCAGCACTGAGTATTTTCCACGCCAGCTGTGGATTTCTGGTGCATTTTTATTTCCTATGATTCTATATTTTGACTGCTGCTTGCTCGCTTTTGTTGATTGACGTTTGCACAAGGCCAACCGTGCATGGATCTATCATCTGTATCCACACGATCGCTCAAGATTGTTATTTTCAGGTCTCTCCATTTCCTCTGCTCCTCCTTATCTGCTCTATTTCTGTCCTGCAGTTGGTGCTAATGGATCGGGCAAGACAAATTTCTTCCATGGTACGTGCTTCCTTTGTTTGCATGTTTTCCCCCTTCTTTTCCAAATCTTCCCATCCAGGTATTTTTCACTTTGTCATAGCCGTTTCCGTGCCTTTCTCTTTATGGCCGAGCGGCAATTGTTGGCTCAGATTATGAATCCGTAGCTCGTTTCCGGCCTGCTGGATTCGATTTCTCATAGCCTGTTGCTGCTGCTTAAACATTGCGGGTGTGCACGTCAGCGTATTTCAAGCCTTTCCAAGAGACCCTGCTCTTTCTTTCTTACTACATGAGAGACCTGAATGGACTCCTTATTCTTGTATATTTCTTGAAAAACCCTTTTGGAATTATAATCATGCACATGCATGTTTTTCATGCTTTAATTGGTCTGGTTGCAGCCATTCGTTTCGTGCTGAGCGACCTATTCCAGTCTCTGCGGGGTGAAGACCGTCAGGCATTGCTGCATGTGAGAGGCTTTCCTGCTTGTGCCTCTGTGCCTTATCATTTTCGTAGTAGTTGCTGCTCCTCCTCCTGCTGCTGCTCCGCCTGCTATTATGTTCGTGTTGTTCGCCGTATTCTCGGTTTGCTGCCAGCTCGCATGCGATCATGAATGGTATATTTTTCCTGCTGTTGCTGCTCTTCAGTGCCTTTGAAGCATGTTAAGATTGCACTATCCGTTCTTTTCCCTCCTCTCTCGCTCCCCCACTCTACTCCTTCTGCCGTCCTTTCTCCTCTCGTTGACTTGACAGGAGGGCGCAGGGCAGCAGGTGTTGTCCGCGTTTGTGGAGATTGTGTTTGACAACTCGGACAACCGTCTACCTGTGAGTACTGCACAGAACCGGATTCCACCACACTTATATGTCTCACGGATTCTTTATGCCAGATCAGTCAGCTGGTGTCACAGGAGGTGCCTGGCTGGCACAAACGCTGGTCTCAGGGGGACTTAGTGCCTACAACATCGCTGCCCTATGCTATGCCCCACCAATGTGCAGGTGCAGATTCAAGCTGTGCTGCTGAGTTGTGCCGTCAGCTGCTGCTGATGGCTCCCCCGTTTCTTTGTCTGCGCGTGTGCGCTTGTGCGTGTGCATGTGTGTGCTGTGCATGTGTGTGCGTGCGTGCGTGCGTGCGTGCGTGTGTGTGTGTATGTGTGTGTGTGTGTGTGTGTGTGTGTTTTGTGTGTGTGTGTGTGTGTGTGTGTGTGTGTGTGTGTGTGTGTGTGTGTGTGTCCACGCATGTCTATCACAGGTGGACAGGGAGGAGGTTCGGTTGCGGCGTGCCATCAGTGGTCGTAAGGATGAGTACTGGCTCGATCGCAAACACATCACGTATGCCCCTGCCTTTGCCACCATCACATCCTTCACCTCCTCCTCCTCCTCCTCCTCCTCCTCCTCCTCCTCCTCCTCCTCCTCCTCCTCCTCCTCCTCCTCCTCCTCCTCCTCCTCCTCCTCCTCCTCCTCCTCCTCCTCCTCCTCCTCCTCCTCCTCCTCCTCCTCCTCCTCCTCCTCCTCCTCGTCCCCTCCTCCTCCTCCTCCTCCTCCTCCTCCTCCTCCTCCTCCTCCTCCTCCTCCTCCTCCTTCCCTTCTTCCCCACCCGTTCCCCCCTCTTCCCCCACCACACACCATTTCCGCTCTCAATTTTAGCCCCTCCCTTTCTTCGCACCGTTCTTTCCCCCTTGCAGTCGTCCTAATTGTTCTACTATGATGTTTCTTTTGTTGCTCCAGTCTCTTCGCTAGCTCTTCCCTCACTCCTCTCCATCGCTCTTGTCGCTCATTGTGCCTTTTCTGGTACTCTCGTTTTGTTCTCCCTCCTCTCTCTGTGCTCCCTTCATTGTCCTTCCCGCTGTGTTTCCCTTGTGGTACTTTTCGTGTGTGTGTGTGCTGCAGGAAGCAAGAGGTTCTCAACCTTCTGGAGAGCGCTGGCTTCTCACGCTCCAACCCGTACTATGTGGTGCAACAGGGAAAGGTGTGTACGCATTCCTCTTACATTGTTGCTCAATCTTACCTTATTGTTCTCTACCTCCTCTCATTAGACTGTGAAATTCTTCGCCTGCACCTGTTTTCGGCTGGGCTCTGCTTTTCCACGCTTCTGCTTTCGTACCTGCAGGAGGGAGGGGAGGTGGGAAGGGAAGAGGGACGGGCAGAGGGAAGGGGAGAGTGAGGGGCAGAGGGAGGGGCTGAGGGAGGGGTGTGTTTGCTATACCACTGTTAGCCATGTCGTCTCACACACAAACCCACCACACTCCACTTCTTGCCCCCGCTTCCTCACCCTCCTCTTGGTCGCCCCTTCGCTCCCTCCCTCGCTCCCATGTGCCACCACCAGATCGCGTCCCTTTCCTTGATGAAGGATGCAGAGCGGCTGAACCTGCTCAAGGAGATCGGAGGCGCAACTATTCAGTCAATCTGAAATCCCCTCCCCTCTTGTCGCCCTTTCTCCCTCGTCCCTCCCTCCCTCGCTCCCATGTGCCACCACCAGATCGCGTCACTCTCGCTAATGAAGGATGCAGAACGGCTGAACCTGCTCAAGGAGATCGGAGGCGCACGCGTGTATGAGGAGCGGCGCAAGGAGAGCCTCAAGATCATGCAGGAAGCTGGTGAGTGGGTGGGTGGGGCTGGTGGTGTGTGTGCGGAATGCGGACTTGTGAGGCGCCTCAGAGATCAAACGATTCCAGCCGCTTCTAATTCAACTTGAAAATTATATCTCCCACTTTGTTCTCTCCCTTCTCTTCCCTTCTTCTCTCAATCCCCCTCCCTTCTTTCCCTCCTCTCTCGCCTCTCCTCTTCTATTTCTCCCTCCTCGTCCCTCCCTTCTCCCCCTTTGCTTCCATCTCTCCGACTCTCGCTCCAAATCACCCCTCCAGAGGTGCGTCGGCAGCAGATTGCAGACTTCCTCGCGCACATCGAAGCGCGTCTCAAGGAGCTGGACGAAGAGAAGGAGGAGCTTAAACGCTTCCAGCTACTGGACAAGCAACGCCGCTCGCTCGAATACGCCATCTTCGAAAAAGAGCTCGCAGAGGCACGCGACCAGCTGGAAAACGTGGAGTCGCGGAGGCTACAGGTGCAGGAGCGCACGAGCGGGACGCACCAGAAAGCGCGGGAGCGGCAGGAGGAGGTGAAGGAGGTGGAGCGGCAGCTGAAGGCAAAGAACAGGGAGCTGCAGGGGCTGGTGCAGGAGCAGGAGAGGGTGGAGGAGCAGAGGAACGAGGGCATGCGCGCGTGCACGAGGCTGCGGCTTGATGTGAAGGAGCTGGAGCAGGCGCTAGAAGCAGACCAGGGGCGCAAGGTGGGTGGATAGGAATGGGCCAGGGGCAAGGTATGGTATACTGGTACAATGCCTTCTGAGTCAACTCAAAACGAGGCTGAGGCTTGATGTGAAGGAGCTGGAGCAGGCGCTAGAGGCGGACCAAGGGCGCAAGGTGGGTGGGTGTGTTCCACAGGGTCAAGGCACGGTAAGGTGCAAACCCTTTCCCCTGCCCCCATTTAGTGGACTCAAAAGTGCACCAGGCTGCGTCTTGATGTGAAGGAGCTCGAGCACGCGCTAGAGGCGGATCAGGGGCGCAAGGTGGGTGGTGTGGGTCAGGGACAAGGTAAGGTAAGGTGTAAGCCGTTTTCTCTACCCCCTCCCCCAACTCTTCTTTGTCCCAGCAACCCCCCCAACACCGTCCACCCCGCCCACCCCCTTCCCCACCGGCCCCTCCCCCTTCATCTCCCAGCTTCTTTCCCTGTTCCTCATGTTTTTCCCTTGCTTCCTTTCCATCTGGTTGTTTTCCTCGCAATTTCTTGCATTCTCAAATTTCGGAAACCGATCCTCACCCAATTTTGCCAGACCCTATAGAAATTTGTTGATGCTCCTTGTACTTGTTGCAACAAGAGGGAGAGGCAGCAGAGAGATATTGGCAAATCACATCTTTCCCATGTATCTCCACGCATCTTCCCTCTGTGCAGCAAGAGCTGGAAGCGGAGCTACAGCAGCTGCAGAGGGACATTGCCAAGTCGAACGCTGACTTGGAGGCGATTCACCCACAGCACCAGCAGCACGTGGCAGAGGAGGCTGCCCTGAACAAGAGGTGGGGCTTGTGGGAGGGATGATGCAAAAACATTTTCAGCACCGGAAGCACTTGGTAGTGGGATGAGAATGGCTTAAGAGGTGGGGGGGTTTTGTGGAAAGTGGTGGGGATGTTGGCCAATTGCTGTTAATCCATTGTTCACAGCTGTCTGTTAGAATTCATGGCTGATTGCTGGTGCCTGCTCGCCTTATGTTTCTTTCCGTGCTTGCAGGCTGGCAGAGTGCTCGCGTCGTCTGGATGCGCTGTACGAGAGGAAGGGGCAGAAGGCGCAGTTTAAGAGCAAGGACGAGCGCGACCGGTGGCTCAGGCGCGGCATTGCAGAGCTGGAGCAGCTGGTGCAGCGCAGCATGGCACAGGTGGGTGGGTGGGAGAGAGGGAAGGGAGGAGGGAGGGAGAGAGATCGCTTTGTGACTTGCTGTTGTGCAGTGTGAATTGTTGTGGTCACTGCAAGCAGAGCTGGAGCAGCTGGAGCAGCTGGATTAGCAGATGATGTGTTGTCGCAAGTTTCGCACCTCTTTCCTCCCCCTATCTTGCACTTCTCGTTTTCCCTATCCCCTCCGTAATGATACTCCGTCTTGTCTTTCTGTTCAGCTCCTCCGCTGTCTTCTCTGGTATGGTTACCACATGTTGATGTTACGATTGCATGATTTCATTCTCCCTACATGCCCCACCTTATCTTCTCCCCTTATCTCCTGCTGCTCTGCCTTGCAGTTGAGGGGTCTGGAGGCGGAGAGTGAGAGGCTGAGGCAGGCGGGGCAGCAGCTACAGGAGGAGATGGCGCAGAAGGGGCAGCAGGTGGAGGAGGCAGAGGCGGAGGTAGCAAAATGTGCAGAGGAGATGCGAGGGGCCAAGGCATGGAGAGACGAGCAGAACAGCCGCCGCAAGTAAGCGCTCGGGCTAAAAAGACTTACATGAAACCCTGAAGCTTGGGTCAAGTGGATACAAATGAGTTTAGGTTTAGGGATTTGTGCTGATTCTTTAAGAGAGCCTTTCTCATCCCGCCAACACCACACCTCCTTCCTTCACCCACCCCCTCCTTCCCAATCCGCGTCTGTAGTTTCTTGCAGCTGCCGCTCCTCGTTGTCTAACCTGATTCGCACTCCATGTTCCCTGCCTGCTCTGCTGCTCCTCTTTCCTGCCTCCTGTCTGTATGCTCTCTCCCTGCTCTCTGTGTGCCCCTCCCCGCTTCTCCAGGCAACTGATGAAGCAGGAGGCGGACTTGGCAGCGGAGGTGAAACGAGTGAGCGAGGAGAAGGACCGAGCAGAGGGGCAGCTGGACAAGTCCACGCCCAGGGTACGTTATGGTGCAGTGTGGTGCTTCATGGTGTGATGTGCTGCACTGTGGTGCGATGTGGTGCGGTGTGTGCAGTATGTACCATGTTAGAGGACGGGGCATGGTGTTGATGCAGGTCATATGTTGCTGATGACCCTTTTTCCTCGCCATCTCTCTCACTCAATCTGCCTCTGTCTCTCTGCTGTGCGCCGTGCCGTCTCTGAGTGTGTGTCTCTCCTGCTACTCTGAATCCTGGCTAACCAGTTGTACTCTGTCTAACCTGTGTGTCTCTCTCCCCTGCGGGTCCACTCTCCACTCACCCACCTCTCTCTCACTCGCCCCCTTCCCCAACTTCAAAGCACTTGTTCGATACGGTCTCTTCTCCTCCTCATCTTCTTCCCCGTCCCCTTCCCCATCCCAATCCCCATCCTGTTTCTCATCCCCCCATCCCGTTCCCGTTCCCCATTGCCGTCCCCTTCCCCGCCCCTCCTCCCTTCGCCGTAACCATCCCACCCCTCAGGACATCCGCCGGGGGCTCTTCTCGCTGCGCCAGATAGTGCGGGACCATTCCATCCGGGGGGTGCACGGGCCGCTGCTGGAGCTCGTGGCCTGCGACGACAAATTTGTCACCGCGGTCGAAGTCACCGCAGGGAACAGCCTCTTCAACGTCGTGGTGGATAATGACGAGACTGCCGCTCGGCTCGTGCGGTATTTGAACCAGCAGAGGGGCGGCAGGATCACGTTTATTCCGCTGAACCAGGCGCGGGCGCCAACGGTGGCGTATCCGGAGAGGCAGGACGTGGTGCCGTTGCTGTCGAAAGTCAAGTTTGAGCCGCAGATCGCTGCTGCATGTGGGCAGGTGAGAGATGGGAGTGGGGGGAAGATGGGATGGGGGAAGGGCGAGGGAGAAGGGAAGAGAGGAAAGGCAGGGAGGGGAAGGGGAAGGCGTAGGGAAGGAAGGGGGGGGGGGGGGGGGGGGGGGGGGAGGGAGGAGGTGGGTGGGGAATAGGTGGGCAGATCACGTTTATTCTGCTGAACCAGGCGCGGCGCCGACGGTGGCGTGTCCGGAGAGGCAGGACGTGGTGCTGCTGCTGTCGAAAGTCAAGTACGAGCCACAGATCGCTGCTGCTTGCGGACAGGTGAGAGATGCGAGGACGGGAGAAGGGAAGTTGGAGACAATGAGGGGGAACGGGAACAGAAGGGAGGGTGGGGAGAGGTGGGGGGGGGAAGAGGGAGTTGTGGTGAGTGGGTGATGTTTGTGTTCTTGAGAAACCGGGGAGATATATGGTGTTTCTGATATTTTCTGGGTGCGTGCATGCGTGCGTGCGTGCGTGCGTGCGCGCACGCGCGTGTGTATATGCATACAGGTGTTTGGCCGCGCTGTGGTCTGCCGCGACCTGTCAGTGGCAGCTGACGTGGCACGCACTGGAAGCTTCGACTGCATCACACTGGAAGGTGAGGCCCATCTCCCCCGTCTAGCAATGCAGTGCAAGGGTCATAAAGTTTCCGAAGCAATTAGGGCCCCTCCAAACTTGCCCCCTGCAGCCCCCACTCCCCCCCCCTCCCCACAAAGCCCCCCCCCCCCTCCTTGCCCTCTTCCATACTTATTATTCTGCTGCGCCCGGTCTCCCCACTTTGTAGACTAATTCGCACTGCTGGTCCCTCCCATTGTGCAAGCTCGTGTGTGGCCCAATCGCCTCGCTCAGTGGCACACACTCACACTCACTCACTCGCTCACCTGTTCACTCGCCCAGTCAAACCACATCTCTAAACCCTGATATCTTCCTCTCGCCCCACTCACTCACTGGTCTACAGGGTCGCAGGTGGAGCGCAAGGGCGCGATGACAGGGGGCCACTACGACCCGCGGCGGTCGCGGCTGCGCCTGATGCAGACAGTGAGGGAGAGCAACCAGCGTGTGCGGGAACTGCAGCAGGAGCTGCGGCAGGTCAAGGCCGCCATGCAAGATATCCTCTCAATGCCTTCTTAAAGCCCATCCGCCCTCCTGGGATTATTTGAATTCGCCCATTCCCTTTAACCATCCCTCCTACTCCCGCTGCTGCTTGTCGTTCTCTTTCATTTGCTTTTTGTTCCTTGCTTTTTTCTTCCCGCACCCACCCCACTCCAACCCCGCTCCCCCCTCCCTCCTCCCTTGTTTTTGGTGATTCTTTTGTTGCTTTGTTTGCTTGCTTGTGCGTGGTTGTGATCTTGTTGGAACCAAGCATTCCTTGACCTGCAGGGCCTCCTATTTTCTTTCTTGTTTTTTCTATCTCCCCCTCTGTTCCCGGCCTCTCTTCTCTTTTGCTCCCCCGCCCCTTCCCCAACCTCGCCCCGTGCCCCCTCCTCTTTCCTTCCCCTTCCCTCTCTCTCTTCTCTCCCCTTCCCCATAACTCCATCCTATCCACACCCTTCTGAACCATCTCAAAACCAATCTTAAACCTGCTGATCAACACAAGCGGATCAGGCAGTGGCAGTGGCGCTGGGGGATCTGGAGCGGTTAGAGGCGAAGCAGAGGCACCTGGGGTCGCTGCTGGAGCAGACTCGTGCCGACATGAGAGGACTCAAGGGACAGCTGGCTGCCAACCAGGCTGCGTGCGAGCAGAAGGTGGGTGGGGTGTAGTGGGTGAGGGGGGCTTGGGCGGGGAGGAGGGTGGGCAAGGAGGGGACGATTTATTTGTTGTCGCTGCTGGAGCAGACGCGTGCCGACATGCGAGGGCTCAAGGGTCAACTCGCTGCCAACCAGGCGGCATGCGAGCAGAAGGTGGGTGGGGGCGTACTGGACAAGGAAGGGGTGGGGGGGGGGGGTGGGTGGGGGGGAGGGGGGAGGTGGGGTAGAAAATCAAGAATCTCTAGAAGGACAAAAAAAAAAAAAAAAAACTTCTTTTTCCCCTTCCCGCTAAACCCTTCCCCTTTTCCCCCCTTTCCCTATTCCCTCTTCCCCTCTCCCCCATTCCCTTTTCCCCCTTCCCCCTTCCCCATTTCCTCCTTTCCTCCTTTCCCCCTTTCCCCCAAACCTGCTTTCCCGCTTCCCCCCTTTCCCCTAACCTCTTGCTCCCTTTCCCCCCTATTCGCTCCAACACCACACCGCCAACGCCACTACGTTACCACCACCCTCCCCACCCTGCTGACTTGCCAGGAGGAGGCGGTGGGAAAGCTGAGGGCGAGCGTGGACGAGCAGCAGGCAGAGCAGATTCTCACTCCTGCCCCCAATCATTTTCGTGCCTTCCCCATTTGCCCTTCCCCTTTTGCCTGTCCACCCACCACTTCCCCACAGGAGGAGGCGGTGGGAAAGCTGAGGGCGAGTGTGGAGGAGCAGCAGGCAGCAGCAGAGGCGAAGCGGGGGGAGATTGGCACGGCGCTGGTGGCAGGGCTGAGCGCGGGCGAGCAGGCAAAGAGGCGGTTGAGGACAAACCACACCTGCCTCTGCTCACCGTTCAGCCTTTCCCCGTCCTCCCCATTCCCTGTTCCCCGCCCTTGGCCCCTCATCCCTGCCCATTTCCCCTCCGTCTCTCACTTCTTCCACCCTGTCTTCCCTCTCCTCCACCCCCACGACTCCCCCCACTACTGAACCCCCCCCACTGACTCTCCAGGAGGAGGCGGTGGGGAAGCTGAGGGCGAGCGTGGAGGAGCAGCAGGCAGCGGCGGAGGCGAAGCGGGGGGAGATTGGCACGGCGCTGGTGGCAGGGCTGAGCGCGGGCGAGCAGGCAAAGAGGCGGTTGAGGACAAACCACACCTGCCTCTGCTCACCGTTCAGCCTTTCCCCGTCCTCCCCATTCCCTGTTCCCCGCCCTTGGCCCCTCATCCCTGCCCATTTCCCCTCCGTCTCTCACTTCTTCCACCCTGTCTTCCCTCTCCTCCACCCCCACGACTCCCCCCACTACTGAACCCCCCCCACTGACTCTCCAGGAGGAGGCGGTGGGGAAGCTGAGGGCGAGCGTGGAGGAGCAGCAGGCAGCGGCGGAGGCGAAGCGGGGGGAGATTGGCACGGCGCTGGTGGCAGGGCTGAGTGCGGGCGAGCAGGCAGAGGTGGAGGCGCTGGTGCCGGAGATTGACAGCCTCAAGCAGCAGCTGCTGGCCTGCAAGCACACCCGCCTGGAGGTGAGGGGTTTAGGGTTTGGTGTTGGAGTTTAGGGTTTGGGGTTGAAGGGGAATTGGGTTCTTGTAGGGAGGGGAGGGGAAAGGGGGATGAGCGAGGAGGGAGAGGTGGGGGATTGAGATGTGTATGATAGTTGGGGAGTGGAGAAAGGTGGGAGGTCTATTAGTGGTATGTGAGAGGGTGAGCAAAGGGCTGAGTGCGGGCGAGCAGGCAGAGGTGGAGGCGCTGGTGCCGGAGATTGACAGCCTCAAGCAGCAGCTGCTGGCATGCAAGCGCACCCGCCTCGAGGTGAGGAAAGGGAGTTGCGGTATGAGCTGGTGACATAGGTGGTCTTTTCACTCCTGTTGCACGTGTTTTCCACTTGGTGCCGAGGCAGGACGAGGTGCAGGCGGAGGTGGATGTGGTGCATGTGGCGTCCCGGTGCAGCGAGCCGGAGGGCTGGGCTTTAGCCAGCGCCCCTCAACTCCACCATCTCCCCTTGCCTCCCCTCGTTTCCCATCCATCCTCTCCCCTCCATCTCCCCACGTCTCCCCTCTCCTTTGTCCCCCCTCACACCAACCCCTTGTCTCCTTTGCTCCACAGGTGGAGAGTCGCATGAGCCAGCTGGAGACCGTTCTAACAGAGAATCTGCTGAGGCGGCAGGACGAGGTGCAGGCGGAGGTGGACGTGGTGCATGTGGCGTCCCGACGCAGCGAGCTGGAGGGCTGGACATATAGACAGCGAACCTCAAACCCAGCATATGCCCTCGCCTCTCTTTGTCTCCCATCCCCTCCCTTCGCCTTGCCTCCCTTCGTCCCCCCCCCGTCCCCCTTCCCCTCTGCCACCGCGCGTTCCAATCACCTTACAGGTGGAGAGTCGCATGAGTCAGCTGGAGACTGTTCTAACAGAGAACTTGCTGAGGAGGCAGGACGAGGTGCAGGCGGAGGTGGACGTGGTGCATGTGGCGTCCCGACGCAGCGAGCTGGAGGGGCGCCGGGCAGAGGCGGCGGCTGCTGATAACGCGCTGCAGGAGCTGGTGCAGGAGCACAAGCGTGAGTTCGTGTTTGAGTGGTGAGGCGCCTCAAAAGTCGAGTTTGAAGCTGTATTTGGAAAGCCAGAGGCAATTGCAGCTTGGATAATGCACTTCAGGAGCTGGTGCACAAGCATGAGTCATAAGGTCGAGGTGGCTGCTGCTGACAAGGTCGAGAGCTTGAATGAGGAAACGCAATGCGTTTTTGGGGGTGAACTTGGCAGCCGTTTGTGTGCAGCCTTGCACCGCCGGACTGTGCTGTGTGCTGCATGCGATGCGTGTGCTGCTGTGTGTGCTGTGCACTTTATGTGCCTTGTGTGAAATGCTGCAAAGGAGAGTAAAGAGAGAGTGCATTGATTCAGATCGGTAGTCTCACGCATTCTTCTCTGTCATCTGATCCCCGTTGTCCCCTGCGCCTGCCTCTGCCTCTCCCTTCCTCCTCCTGCCACTACCAGGTGTGGGGAGCCGTATGGAGCAGCTGATGAAGGAGATTAGGGAGCTCAAAGCGAACAAGGACAAGCTCAAGGTGAGAAATACCACATCTCTCAAGGTGCAGGACGAGGGCAAGGCGTTGGAGCAGCTGTTGAACCAGCGCAGCGTGTGGCAGCACAAGAGGGACGAGGCACCAATGCGAGTGTGGTGTTGAGTTCTCAACTGTAGCCAGCTCTTAAACTCATTGTGTCTCCTCTTCGCCCCCTTTGCCCCCCATTCCCCCCCACCCCGTCCCCTTTGTGCCTCTCCTTAATCCCTCCCTTGCTGCTGCTGCTGCTGCTGCTTCTGCTACCGCCGGCAGCAACAAGAGGAGGAGTGGGAGCGGGCGGTGCAGGACGAGGGCAAGGCGTTGGAGCAGCTGTTGAACCAGCGCAGCGTGTGGCAGCACAAGCGGGACGAGGCACCAATGCGAGTGTGGTGTTGAGTTCTCAACTGTAGCCAGCTCTTAAACTCATTGTGTCTCCTCTTCGCCCCCTTTGCCCCCCATTCCCCCCCACCCCGTCCCCTTTGTGCCTCTCCTTAATCCCTCCCTTGCTGCTGCTGCTGCTGCTTCTGCTACCGCCGGCAGCAACAAGAGGAGGAGTGGGAGCGGGCGGTGCAGGACGAGGGCAAGGCGTTGGAGCAGCTGTTGAACCAGCGCAGCGTGTGGCAGCACAAGAGGGACGAGGCCAGCAAGAAGATCCGCGACCTCGGCTCGCTGCCTGCTGATGCCTTTGACAAGTGAGTGGCCATTGCTTCTGCCCCAGTAGTGTCCGTGCTGCTGCCTGCTCAACCAGCGCAGCGTGTGGCAGCACAAGAGGGACGAGGCCAGCAAGAAGATCCGGGGCCTCGGCTCGCTCCCTGCTGATGCCTTCGACAAGTGAGTGGTGGTGGTGGTGGTAGTTCCTGTTTCGAGACGTCTCAAAACTCGAGGCCAGCAAGAAGATCCGCGACCTCGGCTCTCTCCCTGCTGATGCCTTTGACAAGTGAGTGGCCTGCATTGCTGCTGCTGCCCTAGTGAGGGACGCTCATTCCTCCCCATAGCAGTTGCAGGAATTGACTCAGAGGAAGATCCGGGACCTCAGCTCACTCCCTGTTGATGCTTTTGGCAAGCGAGTGGTTATGATAGTTCCTGTTCTTGTGTGCCTTGGACGAATGAGGGTTCACCTCGTGCCTCGTAAAGCTCACCCTATCCATTCCCATCTACCCCGGCAGGCACCAGTAGCAGAGTATGCGGGAGCTGCACCGGCTGCTGCACCACATCGTGCTGGTGACTCTCTGAACCCGCCTGCTTCTCCCCAACTGCATCCCCACTCTTCCTCCCCTCCTCCCCGCCCCACCCCACCCCCACCACAGGTACCAGAAGCAGAGTATGCGTGAGCTGCACCGGCTGCTGCATGTGCACTCAGCCCCCTCCCTCCTTCATGCCTGTGTACCCCCTCCCACCTTCCCTTGCCCCCCCCCCTTGGTTCCCCCGCTTCCTCCCCTTTGTCCCTCTCCCCCGCCTGTCCTCCTCCCCCGCCCCCACCACAGGTACCAGAAGCAGAGTATGCGTGAGCTGCACCGGCTGCTGCACCGGTGCAACGAGGAGGTGCAGGGCTTTGGGCATGTGAATCGCAAGGCGCTGGATCAGTATGTGAACTTCACAGAGCAGAGGGAGGAGATGCACCGGCGACAGCTGGAGCTGGATAGGAGCGATGAGGTAAGAATCTGGGGAAGCTGGGAGAAGCGGGGAAGCGGGGAAGGGAAGGGGCAGAGGCGCAGGTGGAGAGGTGTGAATGGATGAGGTTGGGCGATGCCTGAAGGGTTTGAAGGGCTTGAAGGATGGATAAAGGCATGGGAAACGGCTAGAGGGGGAAGGGAGGGGCTTTGGGCATGTGAACCGCAAGGCGCTGGATCAGTATGTGAACTTCACAGGCAGAGGGAGGAGATGCACCGGCGACAGCTGAAGCTGGATAGGAGCGATGAGGTGCGTGGGTGTGCAGAAGGGGACTGGGGAGGGGCAGAGGGGGAACAGAGGGGAGTGGGGGCGGGGGAGAGAGGGGCATAGGTACAGATCAAGGAGCTGATAGAGGTGTGTTGGATCAGCGAAAGGATGAGTTACTCTCACCCCTCTGCACCTCTCTGTACCTTGCTTTCCACTTTTACCTCACTTCTTGTCTCCGTCCGTTCCCCGAGAGCAGAAGATCAAGGAGCTGATAGGCGTGTTGGACCAGCGCAAGGACGAGGCCTTGGAGCGCACCTTCAAGCAGGTGGCTCGTAACTTCCGAGAGACCTTCGCGCAGCTGGTGCGCAGCGGGCACGGGTCGCTGGTGATGGTGCGCAAGCGGAAGGAGGACGAGGCGGTGGATGAGGATGAGGACGATGAGGAGGGCGGCGGGGGCGGCAGGGATGGCGATACGGACAGTCGGCTGGATAAATACGCTGGAGTCAGGGTCAAGGTGTGTGTGGGCCTTTTTCCGCTGCCTCTCGCCTGCTCCCCTACTCCTCTCTTTTCTCCGCTTCGAGTTGTGAGTTGCGAGGCGGTGGATGAGGATGAGGACGATGAGGAGGGCGGCGGGGGAAGGGACGGGGATGCGGACAGTCGGCTGGATAAATACGCTGGAGTCAGGGTCAAGTTGTGCACACGCACTCTTCCCTTGTTGCCTCCTTCACTTCCTTTCCCCCTTCCCTCCCCCATTCCTTCTCCTTTCTTCTCTTGTCCTGCTTTAAGTTGTGGGTTATGGGCGTTGTTTTGGGGAATTCTTTCCAAGAGCGAACAGCTCCCCAGCCTCTCCCCAGGAGTCGTTTACGGGGCAGGGAGAGAGCCCAGTTCATGCGGCAGCAGACAAACCCAGTCCAATTCTTTTCCCTCCCTCCTCCCTCTGTGACCCGTGCTCTCCCCAGGTGTCGTTCACAGGCCAGGGAGAGACGCAGGCGATGAGGCAGCTGTCGGGAGGGCAGAAGACCGTGGTGGCCCTCGCACTCATCTTTGCCATCCAGCAGTGCGACCCTGCTCCGTTCTGTACGCTCCTCTCACCCTCTCACCCTCTCACTCTCAACCTTGCACTTTCTCGCTCTCACCGTCTCGAGTTACCAGTTCCCTTTTGATGCCACGAGCTTCACCACTGGTTCTGTACTGAACCTCCCTTTTCCCAGCTGTCCCCTTCTCACTACCACATTATTTTCACCCTGCCTTCACCTTTACCCACCTCTCTTTAGCTGCCCCAGCTTTTCTTGGCCTGCCTTTTCTCCCCCCCAATCCTTCTCCGCTTCGCGCTACCTGTTGCATGCTCTTCGTATTAGATTCCAAAACACACACACTCACACACACACACACACACACACATTTTTTCCTTACCATACCCCTCAGCTCTGCCCTCCCTCCCCTCCCCTCCCCCCCCCTCCCTCCCTCCCCTCCCCGCCCCACCCCTCCCCTCCCCTCCCCTCCTCTCCCGTCCCATCTCCCCGCGAAACCCCTCTGCCTGCAGATCTGTTTGACGAGATAGACGCAGCTCTGGACCCCCAGTATCGGGCTGCTGTGGGAAGTAAGTGCCACGTGCCACCCTCTCTCACTCTCCCACACTCTCTCGCTCCCACTCACACTCCTCCCACATTCTCGCCTTCTCCGTTCGTGCTTGCCTGAACCTTTCTTGAGTTACTTTTAACTGGAGGGATGCCTTTTCCCACTCTCCCACTTTTCCCGTTTACCTGTGTCTTGTCTCATGCTGGTTCCTCGTCCCCTTGCAGTGATGTTTATGCTGCTGATGGGTATGTTAACTGTTCCCGCCTCCCCTCTCCCGCCTTGCATCTACTTTCCCAATCACTACCTCGTTGCACCTCATCCCATCCCTCCGCATTCCTGCCAAGTTGGAAGAGCGGCTGAGTCTGGTACACATCTGTAGTCATCTGGTAATGATGATTTCCCCCCCTCTCGGTCATCATCACCCGCCTTCCTTTCTCCCACAACTCCTCTCCCACTCTCCCCCGGCGCATGATCCGCAAGCAGGCGGACGAGTCGGGCACGCAGTTTGTGATCACAACGTGTAGTCTCATCGACGCCCCTTTCTCCCCTTCCCCATCGGGCACACAGTTTCTCATCACAACATCTTGCCTCATGCACGCCCCTTTCTCACCTCCCCCCCCTCTTCCCCCCCTTTCCCCTGCCGCCGCCCTGGCCTCCTTCCCCGCCTGCGCCCCTGCCCCCGCCCCCGCCTCCTGCCTCCCCTCCTCCCCCTCCTTTAGGCATGATCCGCAAGCAAGCAGACGAGTCGGGCACGCAGTTTGTGATCACGACGTTCCGTCCCGAGCTGGTGAAGGTGGCGGACCGCGTGTACGGGGTGTTCCATAAGAACCGCGTCAGCACCGTGAAGGTCATCGACCAGCATGCTGCCCTCGCGTTCATTGAGCATGACCAGGGCGGACCCACGGAGTGAGGAGGGGGTGTTTTGGAGGGGGGAGAGGGGGAAGAGGTGAGGGAGGAGGAGAAGAGGTGAAGGAGGAGGGGATGGGGGACGGGGGAAAAGCAGGGGTTGAAGGGGAGGGGAGGAGGAAGAAGGGAGGGGGAGGGGAGTGGGAGGGAGTTGGTTGGAAGTGGGGAGAGGAAGCGGACCGCGTGTACGGGGTGTTCCATAACAACCGCGTCAGCACCGTGAAGGTCATCGACCAGCATGCTGCCCTCGCGTTTATCGAACACGACCAGGGCAGGCCAACGGAGTGAAGAGGGTGTGTTTGGGTCAGGGGAAGGGGGAGGTGTAACGGGGAGGGGAGGGTGACAGAGGCGGGTATAATGGGAAGGCAAGGAGAGGAGGAATGCGGACTGTGGAGGGGGGATGATGTGGAGGGGTGGGGGAGGGGCATTGGGGTATGGCTTGGTGGAGGGGTAGGAGACATGAGGTCGAGCCTCAGTATATGAGGAGGAGCAACGTGATTGTGACTTCGTCTGGCTAACACTGACAGTGACAGCTGCGGCTGTGACCAAGAATTCCGACTGTATTACTGATTTTCCAGGATATCATTCCGTCTGTATAGTCTACACACCATCTGGTTCTATGTTGATTGTCACCTCCTTTGTAGCTTAATTTGAATCTATTACTTTTCCTAATGTTTTCTGTACACTGAACTTGTAGCCATCCTCGAGCTCAGCTACATCGAGTTAGCCACGTAGTGAATATCCTTCAAAACTGTTCTGCGATGCTCGCAAGTTTTCGCACAAGACACTCCACACGAAACGACTCCCCTCTCGCGTCGCAGTGAATTCATGTACAGTGCAATTTTTTTTTTTCGCAGCCACGTTAGTGCGAACCCTTCTTCCCGAGCTAACCTGGCAGCCATGCAGCAGGCCCCATTGCCCGCCTATTCAGCTGCCAAGCCTTCATTCACTGCGCGCTAAGGGCTGCCAGTGTGCCATTTCTCGCGACCAGTTAGTTCCCCTGCGCGCGCAGCCCGTGCTTACGTGGCTCGCGTGCAAGCTTGCCAACACGGCAGCTGTCCACATTCGACGAATTTTAGCTTGTCCACGGCAGCTGAAATCAGGCGTGGCGCCTAGTGCAGTGCGCCCAGCAGATTCGAATTCAAGACGGCATCCTCTCTTCGTTTCAGCCTCGAGGCTCGGTAGCAGGAAGAAAGTGCTAAGCTATCTGAATTCCTCTTTCGTGTGACCTTTCTTCTGCCCGCTCCGCAACCCGCACCGCAACCCGCGCCGCAACTCGCGCGATGGACGCTGTGGTGTGTCGGCGCGTGGGGTCTCTCAAGCCGTCCGATCCGCCGTCGGAGAAGGTGCGTCCGGGAACGGCGGGAAGGGAAAGAAGGGTGGCCGAGGTGCCATTTTGAGTCGACTCAATCAAAATACAAAAGTCACCTCGTGGGGACAATTCCGCCTCGTGGGGCCCCTAGAGCCGTCAATTCCGCCTTAAGAGAAAGGTCGGCTCAGAACGGTGACTGGTAATAAACGCGAGGAGCCACGTCAGCACAACCAGGTATATAAACCAAAAACATTACAACTGGGTAGATTTCAAGTGGTGAAGGTTAGGAGAAAATGGAGGGGGGAGAAAGGGGGTGCAATACAGCCGTGCCAGCTGGGTAGATTTCTAGTGAAGGTTAGGAGAAAATGACGGGAACATGGAGCATGCAGTGCAGGTTTGGCACGTGCCCCTCCTTACAGCCGTGCCCGCTGGCTGTCAGCATGCTCCTCAAGCGACACTTCACACGGAGAGTGCAGCACAGCGCAGCGTTGGCACATGCTCCTTTTGAGTCGACATGCAGCGTTGGCACATGCTCCTCCTTACAGCCGTGCCCACTGTCGGCGTGCTCCTGGTTGCTAGCTTGGCAACCCGAAGCCCCTTCACGTTCCAAATCCTGTGGTTCTGTCTTCCTTTCGCTCTCTTTCTTGCTCCTTTCTCTGCACCACCTTCCCCTACCTTCCCCAATCCTTCCTTCTCAAACCTTCTCCTCATCCTGCTATCCTCGCTCCACCTTTCGCCCCTCTCCTTCCCCTCCACTCCTCGAGGGCACAATTTTTGAGGCGCCTCAAAAATTCACTTTTCGCCCCACTCCACTCTTTCCCCTCCCCTCCCCTCCCCTCCCCTCCCCTCCCCTCCCCTCCCCTCCCCTCCCCTCCCCTCCCCTCCCCTCCCCTCCCCTCCCCTAGGACGCCATACTGGCATTCGAGCGCAACTTCCCAGTCCCTTCCCTTCACCCGCCCCTCTCCTCCTCCCCCTCCTCCTCCAAACGTGCCTCCTCCTCCTCTTCATCCGTCCTCATCCGCGTGGCAGCAGCCAGTCTAAACTTCGCAGACGCCCTGCAAATAATGGGGCAGTACCAGGAACGCCCCCCAGTGCCGTTTGTCCCGGGCGCAGAGGTGGCGGGGATGGTGGAGGAAGTGGGGGAGGGCGTGAAGGGGTTTAAGCGAGGGGACAGGGTTTGCGCCGTGGTGGGAGGAGGGGGGTTTGCAGATTTGGCAGTGGCAGATGAAGGCTCGTGGTGAGTGATTGGTGAAGGGGGATGGGGATACGGGGGAAATGGGGAGGGGGGGAGAGGGAAGAAAGAAAGGAAGTTTGGTGAGTGAGAGACTAGTGGTTTGATGGAGGGAGGGAGGGAGCGTGTGGGACGCTGTGCAGCGTGGCAGTGGCTGGATGGTGGAAGTTAGTAGGAAAAACTGTTAATACTTGATGTTGAGTGGCTTCCTTCCTCTCCCACTTTCCACCTCCCTTCCTCCCTCCCTCCCTTCCTCCCTCCCTCCCTCCCTCCCTCCCTCCCTCCCTCCCTCCCTCCCTCCCTCCCTCCCTCCATGCCTTCCCACGCCCACCTTCCCTGCCTTTTTGCCTATCCTCCAACCTTTGTGTCTCTTTCTCCTTGCTTTCCCCTTCTCCTTCCCGCCCACTTACCGCGTCCCTCCCGCAGTGTCCTTCCCAGCAGCAGCAGCGCTGCCAGTGGCGTTCGGCACAGCCCAACTTGACTCAAGTCGATTCAAAAGCCAACTTGACTCGACTCAATTGTCCCTTACTTCCCCCTTCCGTCCCCCGTTCCCTCCCCCCTCCTCTTCTCCCGCCCAGTTTCCACGTCCCTCCCACAGTGCCCTTCCCATCAGCAGCAACGCTGCCAGTGGCGTTTGGCACGGCGCATCTGGCGCTCTCGCAGCGAGCACACGTGGGGAAGGGACACGTGGTGCTCGTACTGGGAGCGGGGGGCGGCGTGGGCGTGGCAGCAGTGCAAATATGCAAGCTTCTAGGGGCCACTGTCATTGCCGTTGCAAGGTGAGGGAAGAGGCCTTTTGAGGCGCCTCACAAGTCGTGCTGGTGCTGGGAGCACGAGAGGAGCGGGGTTGTGGGCGTGGCAGCAGTGCAGATATGGCAAGCTGCTAGGGGCCACAGTCATTGCTGTCGCCAGGTGAGGGTGCTGTTGCGTTTGGTACGTCCCATTTGGCGCTCACACAGCGAGCACACGTGGGGAAGGGACACGTGGTGCTGGTGGTGCTGGGGGCGGGGGGGGGGGGGGGGGGGGCGTGGGCGTAGCAGAAGTGCACATATGCAAGCTGCTAGGGGCCACAGTCATTGCTGTCGCCAGGTGAGGGAAGAGGCCTTTTGAGGCGCCTCACAAGCAGGGCTCTCGTTATCAGGGTAAACACTCTGAAACTCAGGTACATTCCGTATGTTTTGTCGGCTAACCCTGATCCATCAGAATCGTTCTAAAAATCATCCGGACCATTTCCGGATGATTTGGCTAAGCATTCGGGAACTTCAGTATTGTTTCGAGAACAGTCCTGAGATTTGAGATGCAACGATGCCTATTATTGCCGTCAGACATGATGTGGTTTCAGGTTTGTTAGTCCTTGCCCATCAAACTTAGACGTTTTAGAGCCTCTTGCGCCTGGGTTGATGAACTGCATTTCGGATTTTTGGGAAAACACACGGACGCGGAAGGGAAACTTTCGAGGGAAATCTGATTCTTCAGGGTCTTTTCTCAGGCGAACCTGGAGCCTACCGTGCCCCCAAAAACGAAAGATTTGCCCTGCTCACAAGTCGTGCTGGTGCTGGGAGCACAGGAGGAGGGGGTCTGTGGGCGTGGCAGCAGTGCAGATACGCAAGCTTCTAGGTTCCACTGTCATTGCCGTTGCAAGGTGTGTTTTGAGTCGACTGCAGGCGCGTGGGGCTGATGCTGGGGGGGGGGGAGGATGGGGGAGGGTGGGCGTGGCAGCAGTGCAGACATGGTGCAGTACAGTACACACCCATCCAAGTGCACACCCCATTGCCATCCATCCGCGACCAAACAGGCAGACAGTAGGGGGGAGTCTGCTCACTCGTTCTCCCTTTCACCCTCTCTCCCTTTCCTCCTTCCTCTCCCCTTCCCCTGAGCGCCCTTGCGCCTTTCCTGCTCCTCTTCCTCGCCCCCCTTCCCTCCACCTCCCCCTCTCATTTCCCACCTTGCAGAGGAGCAGAGAAGGCCAATCTTCTAACATCAATGGGAGCGGACCTCGTGATTGACACGGCGCAGCACACACACCCCAACGCCATCCGCGACCAAACCACCCAGTTCCTCAAGCAGCGAGCGCAGCAGCTCTCCACCAGTGCACCTGGCGGCAGGCCGGGCGGCGGGGCGGGTGGGGAGGCAGGCGGGCAGGGCGGCAGGGCAGGCGGCAAGCCGGGTGGCGGGACGGGCGGTGGGGCAGGCGGCGGGGCAGACAGCAAGGGCAGCAGGGGCAGCAGGGGCAGCAGGGGCAGCAGGGGCAGCAGGGGCAGCAGCAGGGGGGTGGACGTGCTGTTTGACACGGTGGGCGGCGAGCAGTTCAAGCAGGGGCTGCGCGTGATGCGGTGGGGGGGGCACGTGCTGGTCATTGGCTTTGCCAGTGGCACCATTCCCAGCATCCCCGCCAACATCGCACTTGTCAAGGTCTGCTTGCTTGCTTGCTTGCTTACTGCTTGTGTCAAAATCTCTCATCACGTATGCATGGACGCACTATATATTGGATGCGGTGGGGCGGGCACGTGCTGGTCATCGGCTTTGCCAGTGGCGCCATTCCCAGCATCCCGGCTAACATAGCTCTTGTCAAGGTGAGGAGGTGGTGAGGAGGTGGTGAGGAGGTGGTGAGGAGGTGGTGAGGAGGTGGTGAGGAGGTGGTGAGGAGGTGGTGAAGTGAAGGTAGCATGTGGTGAAGGTAAGCCATCTCTTTGCTGATTGTTACCCAGCTATTGCACGACCATGAAACCAGTTTTGAGGTGCCTCAAAACGCGTTATGCAGTCACTGCACTGGTTCTCCTCACCACCACGAAGCAGCAGGTGGGTGGGGAGGAGATGCGGCGCAGTCAGGTGGGTGGTGGGTGGTGGGTCCTTCTCGAGCGTGCTGGCAGACGATTCAGGCGGACGACTCGAGCGCCGTGAGAGCCCTCTGGGGCTCCTTCTCCACCACCCACCTGCTGTGGCATCTCCACCACCCACCTGCTGCGCCGCATCTCCACCACCCACCTGCTGCGCCGCATCTCCACCACCCACCTGCTGCGCCGCATCTCCACCACCCACCTGCTGCGCCGCATCTCCACCACCCACCTGCTGCGCCGCATCTCCACCACCCACCTGCTGCGCCGCATCTCCACCACCCACCTGCTGCGCCGCATCTCCACCACCCACCTGCACTGGTTCTCCTCACACCCCCCATCCCCCCACCTCCTCCTGTCAGTCTCCTTATCTCCTCGCCCTTCGCCCCTCGCCTCAGAACCTCACCATTCACGGTGTGTACTGGGGCAGCTACATGCAGCACGACCCCTCTCACTGCTTTCCCTCTCCTCTCTCCCCTTCCTATCCCCCCTACTCTTTTTCTGTGCCCCTCAACCCCCCACCCCCCCCGGCCATCAGAACCTCACCATTCACGGCGTCTACTGGGGCAGCTACATGCAGCACGACCTCTATCACTCCCTTCCCTCTCCTCTCTCCACTTCCTTTCCCCAGTCGTCTTCCCTTTGCGGCCCAACCCCTTCCCCGCCCTCAGAACCTCACCATTCACGGTGTGTACTGGGGCAGCTACATGCAGCACGACCCGGATGTCCTGCGTGCCTCCATGCACCAGCTCCTTGCATGGCTTGCTCGTGGTGACATCTCCGTACACGTCTCACACTCCTTCACATTCGACCAGGTGGGTTCTACTGGGTTCTCTTTAGTTCTACTGGGTTCTATTGGATTCTCTTTAGTTCTACTGGGTTCTCTTTAGTTCTACTGGGTTCTACTGGGTTCTTCTGGGTTCTCCTGGGTTCTCCCCTTGGTCACTTTAGCACAACTCAAAAGCTCCTCGGATGGCTTTCCCACGGTGACATAATCATGCACGTCTCACACTCGTTCACATTCGGCCAGGTTGGTTCCCCTGGGCTCTCCTGGAATCTCCTTCTAGGTGACTAAAAGTCCTCCATGCACCACTCCCCGCATGGCTTGCTCATGGTGACATGACATCACTATACACATCTCACACTCCTTCACGTTCGACCAGGTGGGCTCACATTCGCATGGCGTCCTCATGGATGGTGCATGGCCAGGCCAGCACATAGCAGTAGCACGTGTATTGGCAGGCACAGGCCCGGTGCATGGCATGGCAGGCACACGGCTTGGTGCTTCTGGATTCCTCAATTCCTCTATTCGATTCTGTTATGGCCTGTAATGGCAAACCTTCCGTCCAGGTGCACCGAGCAATCGTCACTCTCCAGAAGCACCCCCGTTTCTCCTCCCTTCATATTTCCCCCGTTTCTCTACTCTATTCTGTTATGGCCTGTAATGGGAAACCTTCCTTCCAGGTGCACCAAGCAATCTTCACTCTCCTAAAGCGAAAAGCCGTGGGCAAGGTGGTTCTACTGCCTCCCTCTGCCGCTGCTGGTGATTCTGCTACGGCTCATGCCGGCACTGCTGGTAGCTCAGGTCACATGAGCCGACTGTGACCATCACGGGTTGTCACGGTACTACAAGCGTTGGTTGGCATGGAGATGTGCGGCAGTTGCTCTTGCTGCTGATACTTCGCATGTTGAGTTATGTGGAAAGCTTTTTGTGGAGTGTGTGTGAGTGAGTGTACACCAGTGTGTTGCGCACATTGACTCTGCAGCCACTCTCGAAGTTCCTAGTTCTGTTCTGTACAAATGTACAAAGTGGCCGGTCAATTTCAGTGCAAAGAGCAGAAGTAATCAACAGAACCAACCATATTATTGGCCAATATCAGAGACCCATCCAGTCCTGTAAAACCTCGTTAAAAGAAACCCCACCTATCATCCCTTTATTCCAGTTCGTCGCCCCGAAGATTGCGCAGTGTATTGATGAAGCTGGCAGAAACACCCGCGCAGACGGCTTTGCACCAGCGAACGCAAGAGTCTCCTTATAAACCACCGACGCGCTTTCAAAAACAGCTTCCCTTTCCGCATCTGTACAGTAATTCGTGCTCCACTGTAGACTCCCCCATGATCTAGTGCGCACTATATTGGTTATATTCCCTGATCTGTTGAGAATCTCCCCTAAGCATTGACTCACATGCGCTTTATTGTCTGGTAATTGCTTCCCAATGGTGAGGGCAATGTTGTCAAAAAGCGTGTTGAAAATGAAGAGAGGTGTAGAGACTGTGCGCGAGATGGTGTATTGGGGAAAGAAGCAGCGCCATTGATATGTAGAGGAGTACGCTGTAATGGGTTATGCATGAAAGAGAGGAATGGGGAGGGAAGGGGGAGGGGTGGGGAGTTGGGAGGTAGGAAGGAGAAAGATTAGAGTCCTAATATGTCTGGGAGAGTGAGAAGTTCCAAATGTAGTTACACATCATTTTTCAGTGGAATGGGGAGATTGGTGTGGGACCAAACAGATTACCAGCATGACTGCTGGTAGAGGGCCGGTTTGTAGGCAAGTACAGCTAGAAGACCAAATAACAGCTTATCTCAGCAATAGAGATAGCAAAAGTACCGGTACTTGTGTAGCGAAAAAAACAATTTCATACAAAAGTATACGAGTGCAAGACCGAGTTAGTGAGTGCATGGGTGTGTAATTGTGCGAATCAAACATTTCCAACCAATCAAGACCAGCGTCACCTTGCGCGCACTCCCCGAAGTTGGGCTGGTGCAGCGCGACCATTTTTTGCGCCAGAGAGCGGAAGGTGAAGCTGCCGCTGCGGTCCTCCGAATCTGACCGGGGAAGAAAGGGAGTGAGTTAGCTCTCGAGGCGTCTTGAACGAGCGAAATTACTGTACAGGATGCCGCTACGATATCTTGTGAGCAAGGGTGAACCAAGCTACGCTTTTCCCGCTTGACTCAGACACTGGCAACGGATGCAGCACAATGCGCACGTCCTCTATCAACATGCTCACTAGCAACGAAACCCGAGTTGACACGCAGCGGGCATGAGCGGTTATTCACACACGTGCCCCTTTCCTACAAGCACGCTCATATCATCCCTCTCTCCACTTGCTCACCAACGAAGAATCCCGAATCAACAACGCAGCGGGCATCGGCAGAGGGAACAGCAGCAGCGATGGTGTCGCACAGATGCACCACCGCTTGGCCGCCCGCTGAGCTGCCGGAAATTAGCAGACGAGATGCTGAGCGAATGCCGCGGTTGGCCTGCAGGTCTGGGGAGGAGAGGGGGGGAGGTGGGGGTTGGGGGCCGGGGAGGGGAGGGGAGGAGAGGGGAGGGGAGGGAAGGGAGGGGAGGGGAGTAGAGGGAAGGGAGGGGAAGTGAGGGGAGGAGGGCGAGCAGTGTTGAGACGACAAGGAAACGAGATGAGGAGTGGATGCTTCAAAAGCAGCAGCGATGGTGTCGCACAGACGCACCACCGCCTGGCCGCCCACTGAGCTGCCGGCATGGAGATAAGAAGGGAACAGAGTTGAGTAGACATATGTTGGTCGCAGGGGCAAGGCCCAGTTATAACCTTTTTGTGAAGTCAGGGGTTGCTGTAGAAACTCAACAATTTTCTAGCTGCGCGGTTCGAAAATTTTCGCAATATGCGTGCGACACGCGATGCCTCTTGCTCACCTTTCAGTATTGCTTGTATAATGTTCCATCCGTCCATGTACACCACATCCCCGTTAGTAGACACCCGCCCTCTGGTGCCGAGGAAACCCCCGCCGTCACAATACACGACTCTGACGAGGTTCCAGTTATAGAAGGCCGGATTAACGGAATCGTCGCCGCTCAGGATACCATTGAATGGGGGACTGATGACCTTGCTCTGGGGGAGCGGCGCGGACGTGCGGGAGCAGTGGGAAGGGCGGGAGGGGGGGGGGGAAAGTGAGAGGGAAGGCGATCAGGGTCTGGCGGATAGTTTGGCAGTCTCGAGGATGATCAGAGTGCCATTAGTGCCTGATAGGTTTATTCTGGTGGGGGAAATGCAGAGGAGTAGCCCATACAACGTTGGTGGGATTTCGATTTGACGGACATACTTTTACATTTGTTTTATACTAGATCGTGGCTTGTAGTTTAAACGAACTGAAGCTGAGGTGACGACAAAACGAGGCGACGAGGCGCGAAGGTAGAGCCAAGGGTTGCATGATTAGCGCAGACCTTGATGGTGCCGTCGACAGGATATGTTTTAGTAGAGCCCAGGTACGTCCCCGCGCGTTCCGCGCATTCCGCCGCGCTGAAGCACCACGCCCCCGGCGGAAGGAATATGTGCCAGTTCAGCCGCCCCGCGCCCCGCCCCGCGCGGAAATAGTACCCGGGCGCACTGGCGGAACGGGCGGGAGGTGGAGGTGGCAGGAGGGAAGGTGATATGGAGGAAACGGATGAGGAGGGAAAGAGGGGAGAGGGGGAGGAGAGGGGAGGGGCGGGAAGGGAGGGAAGGGGAGAAGGGGGAGAGGGGTGGGGGAGCGGAGTTGGGGGTTAGGCGGTAGAATGTGAACCGACTCGAAATATCTGAGCCAGGGGCGAAGAAAGCGCAGATGCACGGAGGAGGTGGGGAGGGGTGGGGTTGTGGGGGAAAGAGATGGGGTGTTGCGCAGGGGTTTATGATCGACCGCCATAATAGAAGAACAGTCCGAAAGGAGTCTGTTGCTGAGGCGCTTCGAGAATTCAGGGGCTCGAGGTGAGCGCGAAATGCGGTCGTCATCAAGGAATCACAGCAGTGAGGCTTGTCACGTCGAATTCTTGTAGAAATCGCTCGAAAGGCGCATCTTTTATACAAATCCTAAAAACAGGCGTTTCTGCGTGATAGTTAGAATAACGCCTACAGCAATGCATGCAGAGTTGAAACTCCCGCGAATGGCTCACCTCCCATCGAGGCACCGCGCTCCCAGAGCATTATTCGGCAGCAGGATCAGATTCGTTCCCGTTGGCGGCGGCGGCGTATCCGGCGGCGGCGAAGGAGGCGGCGGTTCTTCCGGCGGCTTTCCCGAGATTAGCGATAGGATAAGCTGGACTATCAGCCATAGCGGTTTCCCGCTAGTGCCGCTGCTGCCGCTACTGCTCCTGGTGACATTTAACCGGCCCATAACAGTCAATGCCTATATCCGTACATTAAACCAACTCGCTAGTACCGTAGCGCGACGCCAGTGAGCACTTCAGAGTCCTGAGGAGTATGAGCGTAATGCAGTGTGAGCAGGTTACACTCCCTATTACAGGGGGAGTCACTTAACGCTATACGCGTTACAGTATGCTTTGATGAAGCTAACGCGGCTTACTAATCGCCGAGGCGATATCGCGACTCAGTGCCGAGGAGAATCTCAGCAGCAACGGCTTGGCGAGAAAAAGCGCGCGCTGCTGCCACGGCACGACGGCGTCACGGCTACGACTCGTATGAACGGCGGGGCGCCTGGAAGGTGGCGGCGCGTGAAGAGCAAAATTCTCTCCTGGTCGATGAGAGCCAAGCGATTCGGTATAAACGTATCTAAAATCTCTTTCCTGGTCTTCTATTTAAATGGCTCACAAACGGCTAGTATTGCGCTATGACGCGTGGTGGCGGTGTCTACGCAGCACATGTGCGCCCTGCGACAAGAGGTACTAGCACCCGCACTGTTCACTTAGGCTGGCAGCCGCTGCGTGTTAAAGTCAAGGCCACCTACCAGAGCTCCACTCGGTCTCGGTTCTTGTGTACCCTGCGACAACCAGTACTACTCGCCGCCAGCGTAAACAGGGTCGAAATCTCGGTCGTTGCTGTTCTGAATCTTTTTATTTGAACCAGGGCGAGTGGTGGTGTGTGGGGTGGAGAGAGCTGCCACTCCTACTGAAGCGGAAGTCGGTTATCCTCCCCTCCCTCTGAACTGAACTCGCTTCGGTCTGGTTTCTTCTCCTATTCTCGTCGTGCCCAGGGGCGGTTTGGACCAGTGCAGGTGGGGCTCGGCTCGGCGGCGCTTTGTTCTAGTGTACTTGCCCTTGCTTGCCTCGTTGCCATGCTTCTCATTGGCATCCCTGGTCATGCCATCCTACTGCCTTCCTACTCGATCTGGCGATGGAAATTGCAGCCGATGTTTTGAAGGAATAAAATACTGTAAATGAGATTCCGACTTAGCTGCAAATGGTACAGATTTCACGGGACGGTTTGACACAAAGTTGCCACCTCAATGCCGCGGAAAGTCGCCCTCGAACCAGCGCTTCGGCCCACGACAGCCATTCTACATTTGGGCCGCCGACGCACCGCGTTACCGCTTGTTACGGGCACGGCGGCGAGGTGGAAGAAGCGGCTTGGATGGTGTGGAAAATCTGGCAGTTCAAATTAGAAAATGCATACGTAATATTTTAACTGTACAAACAAGATTGGTTGGATATGAAAATACCAGACAAAATATAAACAAATATGAAAACCATATGAATGGAGAAGGCGCGTTATCACATGCTGGCATCGTCGTCTTCCTCGATGCTATGTAAAAAATTGGTCACGGTAATCAAATTGGAAACATCTATGAAATGATTTACTGACTATATGATGCTGTATTTCATTAAGTTTACACATTTTTCCTCTCCACATTTTTCAATTTCGGCGGGAATTTCATGTAGTTACCATTCGCGTGATGGGCTGCTAGTGTAGAGTTACCAAATGTGTTAAGCGAGTGACCAAACGTGTTAAGTGAGTTACCAAACGCGTTAAGCGAGTTACCAAACGCGTTGAAATCGTTATCGTACGCGTTACAGTGCCCCATGTAAGTTACCATTGACATATTTCCCACAGGCATTTGTATGCAATAAGCTTGACAATGGATAATACACTTTCTCAACTTCCAACAAGACTCTACGTTCAACGTCGTATGGGTTGCGTAGGTGCTTAATACTCGACATAGACATGACACCGGCCAAATTAGTGACAAATGTTTATGTGTTATTCCCCCATCTACAATTGTTTGTTCCCATACATAATGAATTTTGGTCCGTATGTTACGTTGAACGAATATATATATTTTTTACCTTTAGCGGGATTATATTTTAGACATATTATGATAGTAATAATAATAATAATAATATACAAATTGTACTCATTATAATAGCCAATTCAATGCAACTACTTGTAGTGTGATAAGTATTTCTAGAACTGTAAAATTGTAGGGAACAGGGGTCTACGTTCTTGCTTTCGTCATGCTGTATTCTAGAGCTGAGTCACCTGAATTTTATTTTAAAGAAGCAATTAATTAAGTTCTTCATTTTAACTTTAAAACGGGATATCGTATATGGTGCTTCGTTCTGCGCTGGCAGAAGCTGTATTGTTCTGCGGTGGCAGAAATTGTATCGTTTTGCGGTGGCAGAAATTGTCTTGTTCTGCGCAGGCAGAAATTCTGATTCTGCGCTGGCAGAAATTTTATGTCTGCGCTGGCATCCCTCCCTTTCACAGCTGTCAACTCAATTTCTGCGCTCTTTTCTTGGTTCTTGTTCTGGTTCCTCTCGATCGACTCGACAAGCACACCTGCTCTGCTCTTATTTCTCTTCCTTCCCCCACCCCAATTTCTCGCCAGTTCTCCCACCCAGCCGTCGCTCTCGCTCCCATCCCGCCGTATCCTCTCCCTCACTACCCGCCTTCACCTCTCCTATTCACCTCACAGTCACTCAGTCCCACCCCGCGATCTCCTCTTCCTTACCTCCCCGTCGTCGCCTCTCCCTCCTCCCCGTCGTCGCCTCTCCCTCCTCCCCGTCGTCGCCTCTCCCTTACCTCCCCGCCGTCGCCTCTCACTCCTCCCCGCCGATTCGCCTTTCCCTCCTCCCCGCCGTCGCCTCTCCCTCCTCCCCGTCGTCGCCTCTCCCTTACCTCCCCGCCGTCGCCTCTCACTCCTCCCCGCCGTCGCCTCTCACTCCTCCCCGCCGATTCGCCTTTCCCTCCTCCCCGCCGTCGCCTCTCCCTCCTCCCCGTCGTCGCCTCTCCCTTACCTCCCCGCCGTCGCCTCTCACTCCTCCCCGCCGTCGCCTCTCACTCCTCCCCGCCGATTCGCCTTTCCCTCCTCCCCGCCGTCGCCTCTCCCTCCTCCCCGCCGTCGCCTCTCCCTCCTCCCCGCCGTCGCCTCTCCCTCCTCCCCGCCGTCGCCTCTCCCTCCTCCCCGCCGTCGCCTCTCCCTCCTCCCCGCCGTCGCCTCTCCCTCCTCCCCGCCGTCGCCTCTCCCTCCTCCCCGCCGTCGCCTCTCCCTCCTCCCCGCCGTCGCCTCTCCCTCCTCCCCGCCGTCGCCTCTCCCTCCTCCCCGCCGTCGCCTCTCCCTCCTCCCCGCCGTCGCCTCTCCCTCCTCCCCGCCGTCGCCTCTCCCTCCTCCCCGCCGTCGCCTCTCCCTCCTCCCCGCCGTCGCCTCTCCCTCCACGCGGTTGCCTCTCCCTCCTCCCCGCCGTCGCCTCTCCCTCCTCCCCGCCGTCGCCTCTCCCTCCTCCCCGCCGTCGCCTCTCCCTCCCTACTTTGTTTTTTAGTGCATCAAGGAAGCTGCATTCTCTGATTTTGTTTTCTTGTGCAACTAATGCACGTTGTATTCTCTGAATTTGTTATTGTTTGTGCAGGGAGTGAGTTGCATTAGCTGATTTTTCTTTCCTGTGCAGGGAGTTCAAGCTGCAGCCTCTGTTTCTTGCGGAGAAAAGGGATGGGGAGAAGGGAGATGAGGGAAATGAGGGAGGGAGGGAGGGGAACAGGGGACAGGATAGTGATAAATAATTTATACAAGGCTGAAATTCATTCAGGGTGTATATAGTGCATGCTTATTACAGTAGCTGTATGTTTTTGCGTTGTGTGTGTCTGTATATGTGTAAGCCTGTATGTGTGTGAGTGAGTGCGTACATGTGCATACGTGTGTTGTGCGTGCTTCAGGGTGTGATGCTAAGTGCCTCGTGAATGCAACTCGGATTGTGATCGTCGGTGGGGCAGCTTTGCTAGCCTCTTCCGTACCATATCAATCTTAGTTGCAGCACTGATGCATTTAGCATTCGCTTGAAATATTCTTAAATGTTGTCTTCTGTTTTTGTGATCATTTATGTGTTATCGTCTGTGCTTGTTTCGGGGGTGTGGTGCTAAGTGTCTCGTGTATGCAACTGGGATTGTGATCGTCGGTGGGGCAGCTTTGCTCGCCTCTTCCGTACCATATCAGTCTCAGTTGTTGCATTGATGCATTTAGTATCCCCTTCAAAACATGTACGACGGTTCTTGTACACCATCGTTTTTGTGTTTATTCGTGTACCCGTATGTGTGTCTCTAGGTGGTACGGTATTGTAGTATTTTTCGTGTTGTGTTGTCTTTTTTGTTCGTGTGTCATTGGGTACCGTATCATCTTTAGTGCTTGAACGATTCTTCAATTGTTCCATTCGCCGTACTTATCGACGATTATGGAATGATTGAAAACATTTGTTTTCATTTTTTTTGGGGAAGCTATGTGAACAGTGATTTCTCTCAAAAATTATAAGAGAAATTCACTGTTCACATCAGCCAACCGAAAAGTGAAAACGAATGTATAAGGTTGCTACGCAACCCAACGAGATAACGGCATCGAACTGGAGGCATGGGGTCCGTACAGTACCATCCACATCGTTTTCTTTGAGCTCCACCAGGGCAAAACCGTTCGAAGCGAACCGTAATTGCGAGTGTTCTGCCCCGCCACTGGTGTGTTTGCAATGACTACACATCACAGGCGGGCACAGCGACATTGTTCCGTCCTGCCCATCGTTTTTCTTCAGCTCATCAGGTTGAAGAGCGGGCGACAGCAATACGTGCAAGTTGCACAAAGGAACAGACACTCGTCTACGGCTGTCTTGATTTCTGCCAAAAAAGTTTCCAGTTGAAAGGTGCACTCTTTTCCAAAACTTATTGTTGCCAGCTCCATCTGTGCGATACATTCGACATTACACAACATGGAGTATTGTTTCGACTTTGCATGATAAATAGATGCTGACCAAAACCGTCAGCACAACCTGAACAAAACCGCGTTTGCTACAGTTCAACTTTGGTGATGTGCCCGTGCCCCCAAGCGGCACTCCACGGTCGCAGGTTCTAGAAACTGCCACCAACTCCCACCTGCTTTGAACCTCTTCAGTGTACTGTGCACCAGTCGCTGTGGTGGTGGCGGTGGCGAGGAGAAATCCCCCCCTGAGCTGACCGTTTTCTAGCTGGGTATGAAATGAACCCCTTCGACAAGTCATGCACGACGCGATGCATCCACAGACTTGCGACCATCCTGATCCTGACTTCGGCGTGGACGCCTTCCGCAAGCGTCTACACCACCCACCTTCCCTTTTCCGCCCCCTTCCCCCTTTCCGTTCTCCATCCCCCCCAAAAACTCACTTTCGGGCGGAGATGCTGGCGCTCCTCCATTTTATTCACTGAGGCATCGTACCGAACCATACTGTACCTCAGTATTTCAACCAGCGGAAGGTTGATTTTGCCCGTCTGGACTGACCCCTCCCCATTACCATCCAGCCACGTCGGCATCGGAGGAAACACGGAAGAGCAGCAGATGCAATCAGCGCGAGAAGCGGAGAAAGGGGAAGGGAAGGGCAGGGAGAGCGGAAAGTTGGGGAGAAGCCGAGGAGGAGCACCGAGGCTCCACGAGCAGCAAGAAGACGCGAAACCCCAACCGCTGAACAAACGATGACACGACAGCAGCCTGAGGCATGTGTGGAATAGGATGGAATGGGTTGATGGGGTGTGAGAAAGGCCATTTTCAAGGTTCTGCGGAAAAAAGGTTTTCCCTTCCTCGTGCTCATGCGGGGAGGTTCTCTCCACTCCAGTCAACTGAGATGTACGGTTATGCGCAGGAAACCTCTTGACTGGCACCAAGACTAGCAAGATTCAAGCCCTATCAACCCCCACAACCTCACCTTCACTCACCCACATCCTCACCACCATCTTTCGTTCCAGCTCTGCAGCACCGTTCTCCTCCCTACGCCACTTCTGGTACAAGCCGATCATGTGCTTGCATTCACCTCAACCCTAATTGGCTCAGTTCCCACTGTAAAGGCTGCGCTGTAGTTTGCAGGCTAAGTTTCGGCTGCAAGCCTACGCCTTTCCTGTGTAACATACATCGTCTTGTACCTTGAATATCTCGAATCTCCTGTGCTAGTGAGTTCTAAACTCGACGGAGCTATTTCTGCCGTAGCTTACTGTGCCTGTAATTATTTGTTGCTTCCACGATCGAAGGGGCTTTTCCTTGTCCTTTCCAAAAAAACGCTTACCAGCTAGGCCACTATATCGTGGGCCGGGTGCGACTTTAGCAAACCGACGTTGTCAATATCAAAACGCCGTCAGGAGCCGTCAGAACGACGTTGCCACCAATCCTACACTCTTTCAGGCCCCGATAATAAACTCCGCTCCATCTTCGTGTAGACTTGTGAGCCGCAGCCATGCCTCGGGTTTCTTTTCTTGCGTCCAGGCAAAGACCAGCCGCTGGCTCTTTCGATTCGCTTCACGTCGAATCTGCCGCTTCAGCATCCAACCTGATGGACCCGCGACAACCTTGCTCTCTCTCAGTAAATCGCTCTCCTTCAAACGCCGTCTCCGCCGCCGCACCTGCCGTTTCTGCTGACTCGAGTGGAGCCCATACTTTTTCCTGTCATTCGTCTGCCGCGTGCCAATCCCGGGTTGGAGTTCGGTTACTAAGGTCCCTACGCTCACCATTCTCACAAAAGCTGCAACGGTTACCCGTGGCGGTTTCTTCTTCGCTTCTTCCTTTGGTGTTTCTTGCCCTAATTCTCCTCCACTCCGCGTCTCACGCTGAAGCGTGTCCGCGGCGCATGCTGGCCGAACCGCAGTCTCCACTCTCGGACCTCGTTAAGGACGACATTGTCTCGCTTATAGGGGAGCTCCACGATATCGATAAGCACTACTCCATCATAACGGCGTACATGGAGCAGCTAGGTGCGTCTACGTGGACAGCAGACCCCGTGCTTACCGTATTAATTTCCGTTCCGTTCTCTGCTTTTTTTTTTTCCCTTTTGTTCTCGCTTTTCCTTTGTTGGCTTTCTCGCCACCACGGCCGTGGTCTCATTGTTCCGCGTTCGCATTTTAACCCACCGAAATTCGTCCCCGCAGACCCTTTTCGACCTTATCCCCGTCCACTTGTTTTTTTCCTTCGCGTATCCTGTCCTCTCTTTCGCACCCTCCTCTCCCGTTTCCCCTCCCACCTGTCCGCTTCTTCTCCTCGTTGGTCGCTCACCTCATCCTCTCTCATCCTCTCTCCACTTCCTTGCCTTTTCTTTCCGTCCCTTCGCCGCGCGTTTTACCTTATCGCAGTGGCGGTTCCTAACGCGGATTTCTCGTGGGGCGTGAACACCACGTGGCTGCTTCCAACGGATAAGGCGATCAACATGGCGCGGAAGAAGGACAAGTCTTTCACGGGAACCATCTCCCCCTGCCATTTCATCCAATATCGCCGCGCTTACAGCCGGCAGGAGTGTGGCGAGCCCCTCCCGCTCGTCCTCCTTCCCAGCAACTGGACAGCAGCGGCTTCGGTTGGCGGAACTGGCGCGGATTTCGGCGGGACGACGTGTACTGTGAAGAGGTATTTGCCGCCGCCGACTCGTGTGGTGATTGGGAGTGTGGACGATAAGAAGACAAGGGGCATGATTGTCCATCCGAGCTTGTATGAAGGGAATTACATCAGTGCACATGGAGTTGATTCCCTGATCTTGCCCTGAAGGGGGTACAAGAGGCTTTCTGAAGAAAGGGAAAGGGTTCCCTTCCCTTTCTTGAATGTGCAAGTAGGAGAGGGGATTGCAGGGTGGACGAATGAAGTTTGGGTTAGGGGAGAGGACTGGAGTGAGGTCCCCCTTTGGTGGCGTCAAGATGCACAGCAAACAAGTTTTCCTGTCCTGGTTTTAACTTGACAGATGGACAGCTGAAACTGTCTCTTGGTTGGAACCCTCTGCTCACTTAATTTTTGCTTGTGCTGCTATGATTGCATGTTTTCTGCAAGAGTTTGATGTTCCTGTCCTTATCCTATTGTAACACCTACACCCTCACCCCACGTCCAATATATAACATCCCAAAACATATTGTATCACAAATATAGAAGCTCCAAATCAAACGGGGCTTTGAAATAGAACGGCGTTTATCCCCTGGGCCGTAAAGTACGGCCCAGAGTACAGACTCGGGTGCACAATCTGTGCTCGAGGCTCCTCCACACCCACAGGACCAAGGTACACCACGTTTTCCGCAGGGGCATACCGCTGTAGTACACTCCCCAGCTGCATGGTATTGACCGTCCAACCCTCCGGTTGAAACACCATGGGGAGCGGCTGTCCGCACACTTGCTTGCTGAACTCGAAGCGGCCTTGAATGATGTGGTTCGGCAGGAGGGAGGAGAACGCGGAGCCTTGCCCGCGGTTGATACCGGAAGCGGAGAAGGTGGTTGTCTTGGGAAGCAGGAAGGTGGTGTTGAGAAGATCCAAGAGAGGGACTGGTGAGGACGGCTGCAGCACTGTTGGTGAGA